TGACTGGACAGAAAACAGAAAACGTGTAACACCTGTAGTGGCTGGCCAGTGGCTTTACTGTAAGGGCTGAGGATTCTCCTGTTTTTAACTCCATTTTATCTAAACTTTTTTTTAGTTTTTTGTCATGTTTTGTCATGTTGACCGTTGTCTGCACACGTGAATATGTGTACATTTGTGGAAATTAAACGTTACTGTAAAATGTGTATGTCAGTCCCACTGTATTATGCATTTAACTTTATCTGCACAATTGTAACTGATGAGGGGGAAAAGTCACTTTTTAAGCCATCTTGAAGATATTTTTTAAATGTGAGATAATCTTTTGTGTTATTTTTTTAATTTTCTGAATCAGAATTTAAATCCACAATCCCTCAAGCCCAGTTGAAGCTGAGCTGAAGCTGAAGTTTGTCGTTATATAATTAAAAAACACTAAATATCCAGTCAGCTTCAGTGTTATGTTCATTGTCAGTTTAAATTACAGCTGCTATCTGGATTAGTCGTTACTGTCGCAAAACTTCTCACAAGTGACAAGCTGCAATTAGTTTGGCATTTTTACTTGAAAAGGGACTTTATCAAAACAACGCAAATTAATTTTCTGTCGCTCAAGTAATTGATTACTCTGCTAATCGTTCAGCTTAAGATTGCCTCCGCCAGTGGATTCTAGGACTCACTGTGAAAATTGCCTACTTTTCTTACTTCTCATGACTGCATTATATTCTAATCTATTGAGGCAACTGTTGAAATGTGTCTCTTCTATAATAGAGAAATAGGTCTCCCTGTATGATCACTGAATATATATATATATATATATATATATATATAAAAAGCCTTTGCACTTTGATTCTTAGGGACTTACACCAAAATCTGTTTACATATATCAGTGTTGCCCAAACTGGGGTGACAAAGGTAAATCTAAGACGTCATAAGATGATTCAAGGGATAAGAAAGAAAAATACTTATTTCTCATGAAATACTTGATGCTGTCACCTCTTAAGGCCTCTCAAAAAGCCTTTAAATAAATCATTCTGATAGAAATATCACTCTCTGGTTGAACTGCTCACAACTCTGAGATAGGAGTCATAAGTAGACATTTTAAGCAACCTAAACAAGCTAAAATGATTGAAAACCACTTTACTTGATTTCTTAACCCAACTCTTGAGGCTGTAATTTACAACAGAAATTATCTAGCTTGTTTATTTGCTTTCACAGCAGAATTTACCATACACAATTTCTTTGTTACATACAGTATGTGTTGTGTTCGTGGGGATCTCATGGGAATTTAAAACTGAAGGCAGCTGGGAACGTCGGCGAGCAATCCCACAGAAAATCATTTCCCAGGGGTCTCCCCGTCAGTCTCCGAGCCCACACAGACCCACGAGAAGCTATTTTCTTCCCTTCTCCTCAAAAAGCAACAGTGGGAGAAGTTAAATAATGGCCTCTGGTCCCTTCTCATGTACGGTATCACAGCGGCAACATCTCTATGGTAATATAATTACACACCATATATTACAGCCATCCCACATTCTGAAGCGCTGTGTATTTTGGTATGCAACTGATCATTTCCAAACTCAACAAACAAGCAATTTAGTTTAGCGGAGTGGAATGAAATGGAAGTCAAATGGAGTGTCACCTCATTTAATATAAAGTTCTGAAAACAAATCGACTGCACTTCAGGCTTTAATGCAGTTTGCAGGAACTTGATGTGATAACTATAAACGGACAAGTTGTATGTAATTTAATTTTACATTAAGACAGTATACCCATGTGAATCACTGATTTAAAAAGATCACTGTAAGGCTTTTTTATTATCGCTACTGCTCTCTTTGATGATAACTATCTTTTTTATTAATCTTTTTCTTGTATCTGTATTTTTTCTAAGCGCTTTGAACAGCCTTGTTTCTGGACGCTTCTTTGCTGCAGTGAGATAAAATGCCTCGGTCATCTGTTATTTAGCCCTTAGATCATAATTTCATGAGAAAAGTGGTAAAAAGTATAGCCACGAGATGAGATAATGTCACTGTAATTTCACTTGGAGTTACTTATTTTATTGCTTTGAACAAGGGAAACTGCTTGTGAAATGAAGATAATCACACTTGGTTAAAAAACATCAAGTTACACCGTTTTGTCAGTTTAAAACTAAAACCAAAATTAAAATGCTTCCAAATAGGTGGAATTTATTGTCAGGATGTCTGGCAAGGGAGAGAGGGGGGGTTCTCTGTTAGTGAGTTTGTTTACTATACTGGGTATTCTAACTCAATCAGACACAAGACAATATGTTTAGCCAGTCTAGTCATACAATCAAACTGGGAAATTCCCCTCAGCCACCAGAGAAATGTTGGCTATTTCAAGCTGTGACAGCTAATTCCCTTTGCTTTAGTAGACTGCTGCCGTGGTCTGTAGAGATTTTAAGAATTAAAAACTTGATATTTGTCAGAAAACAACAGGACGGCAGGTGAAGATTAAGTGAGGATACGCTCTAACATTGCATGCAATTGAGGAGCTTCATTCTAAAATAAGATAACAGATAGATAATCTATAGTCTTAAAACCTGTACATGTATGCTGTACTGATTTTGTACCAGTTAATGTGCATATGTACACATATCACTGTCTTTAACATAGTTTGTTCTGGTTCATTTGTGTGTTTTCTGTTGTTTTTCGAGCCTGAGAATTCATCAGTTTTTATAGTATTATTAGCTAAATCTTTAGGCCCAAGTCATTACTACTTTTGTGTCAACATTAACTCGCCTGCTGGCTAAGAGTTTGTTTGGGTTTAACCCTGACATCTTGACCCTAACCTCTGACATTTTGCTTGTTTGTTATCCTACCTAGAGCCAGATGAGATGGGAGGTGATAGAGGGGTGATAACAGTTTCTTCTCTGTTCGTCAGCAGAGATTCAGGACCTGTTAGACCTAGGGCATAAAGAAATTGCATTACAAAAACATTTCTCACAACACCAAAGTGTATTTTTTAATAATACATGTTTTATTAAGTTAGCGAGGCAGCCACTATTACATCCAAGAATCACAGGGGTTTATAGGGATAAAGGTTGCACACAAAACTTCTTACAGTAAAACAAGGCTAGGCTAGGAGTTTCCCCCTGCTTGCAGTCTAAGCTAGGCCAACCTGGACCTTTCTGTTTGGATGCACCAAGATTAAAACGATAAATCTTCTCTTTTAATTCTTGGCAAAACTAGATTTCCTAAAATTCTGAAATTGAGCATAAACTCAAGCTATGTTTTGGTCAAGTTGTTTTACATTATTTATTCACAGATTCTCTCATAATATCTGCTGTTGGTCTAACGTAACCTCTCAACCTCCAGTGGGTACAGCACAGGCCACACAGTAGTCATTAGTGATGCGGGTGGACAACCGTTAAATTGATGCAGAGCTGGTTCCCACACACTCACTCACACACACTGTCTGGTATGCTTTAAATGAGTTTGACGTCACACACACTTCTCAGCATCTCAGAAAAGATGTCATCAGGACATCCTTGTGGATCAGCAGCCCGAGGCTCAAACCTCCGTGTGTTAAACACCTAAATCACATGTCGTGCTTTGTCCCTTTCTAGAAAAAGATTGTTTTGTTGACAATGTGAACACACAGTATCGCACCTAACTGCATCAATCAAAATCAATAAGTAGCACCAAGTAAATCAACTAAGTAAATGTAAAGCAGTCTCGTATATAAGTATCTGAAGTGTAAATTTTAAATCAAAGAACATTTTAGTGTCCGTCATCGTTGCCACAATGGAAACTAAAATGATCGAGAGGATTTTAAGCTGTCAGCACCTCGTCTCACCGGGTTTAAGTAGGTATTTGAAGAGAGAATGATTAGGGAGGGTACTCATGACTCACAACGCTTGTCAGCAGTTTAGTAGAGGAGTATACTGACTGCATAATGTTCCCGTGAAGGTCTTCGTTATGCCGTAGAGAGGCGGTTGTCTTAACAAACGGGGCTGACAATCTCTCCAGCGTCCTGCTCTGATTTTTCACTGTCTACTTATGGACGGATCACAGTATAATTAATGAGATCTGAGCCTCTTGTTTCCCACATCAAGTGAAACATGGTACAAGGCTGTGGTGTATTTGCAGCATACTTTGTACTGCTTTTGGCTCTTGATCTAGTAGAGTTGGTAATCCATTTAACTTTAAATTATATTGTGTTTGTAAGGTTCAAGAAGTAACTCCAAAGAAATGTCCTTCTTTTTAATGCAGTTACACACTTTGACACTTTAAGACCTGCCCAGAACAAACACAACATTATGTTTGTCTGGGGTTAAATCAGGCTCAAAACTTCTGCATCCTCAGGCTTTCATTTCCTTTCTTAAGTGCTTTTTGACAGTACTTTTTGTAAGAGGGGAAAGTCTTTCTTATTTGCTGTCTCCATCTCGATTTTCCATCACAAATCCACTTCTTTAACCTCTATGCCGAACTTTTTTCAGTCTGATGTACCCCTGCAGTCCTGTCAGATGAACTCAAGTTCCGCTTCAACACCGCTTTTTATTCAACACTAATTATATAAAAGTAAAGTTTTCTAAGAGAGTCAGAAGCTGGTTTTTATTTCAACCATTTATCCAAAACAGCTAATTACCATTTTTAAATTAAAGGTCCCGTGTTTAACATTAAGGAGGATCTATAGGCAGAAATGAAATATAATATGCATAGCTATGTTTTCATTAGTGTTTAATCACCTGAGAGTTAGCTATTTCCACAGTCCATCCGTATTTTTTAGGTAATGATTTGAAGTGTTTATTCAGTAGTTTTAAAGTATCTATTTTCAATCATTTTAATGATCACTTTTAGCTCTTTAACTGTTCAAACTTCTCTGTTCTCTGTTAACTACATTTCTTCATTCACAACATGTTCAGGTGTTACAGATGAATTAATATGTGGATATATGTCTAAATCAAATCCTAATTTCGAGCACCCAGTAGCTTCTGCGGATGTTCCTCGCCTGTAATCCTATCATTGACCTGTCCTCATATTTTGTGTTTCCAGGTGGATTTGGGATTTCTCCGATTCGTCACGGCCATCGGGACGCAGGGAGCGATCTCAAAAGAGACCAAGAAGCACTACTATGTTCGCTCGTACAAAGTGGACCTGAGCTCCACCGGAGAGGACTGGGTCACCGTGAAGGAGGGCTCAAAGCAGAAGGTAATGATGAGTCACTGATGCTGTAACAACCCATAGCTATCTAATATTGATGAGTAATGAAGGACACTGCATTCTAATCAATGGGAACAGAAATGTGGGTGGCTGAATCAATGTTTTCCAAGGCTGACAGCCTTTGGCAGCATCCCTAATCTGAGCCTTGACTGAAATGAGTGCGCTGAAAGTCTGCTTTACATCCCACTTCTCTCATCAAAATCAGAATCCATTTCTTTGAAGAAACACTGGTCTGGAGGTTGTCTTAGCGACGGTGCAGAGATGAATCGATGCTTGAACATATTGACAGACGTTGTACATCACGTCAAGTCTCAACTGCAGTTAAATTGAGCCTTAAGAGATTTCCACTACGCTAAATTTGTCTTGAATGCTTCATGATGAACAGCCTCAATGTATGTCAAAATAAGTCAAACCAGATTCTACTTAAAGTCCTCCTCCATTCATAAATCTGTTTTTCTTCTTGTTCTTACAGTTGGATGTTTGAATGAAGGGAAACTTTAGGATGGAACACAGTTAGCATATTCATAGTGATGTGGAAATTATACTTTTTACATATAACATATCACACTTTTTTTTATTTGGAGGTAACAGAAAGGGAACTTTATCTAAATGTCATTCTACAACTCTGTTGTGAATGAAAATAAAATATCCTTGAACATTTGTTCCAATCATACTATTTGTATTTATGTCTTAATGCCTGGAGGGATACCAGAAGTTTATTGTAGGCCATTTACAGTCAGCTGATTATTCCACAACATTAGCTATTCATGCAGTATTTTCAGGCAATTTGAATAAAAGCATACAGTAGATTTGAGCCAGAGGAATATAATGTAGGCTACTGTCATACATAAAGAAAATACCCTGAAAGGTCAGTGATTACAAGTCTTTATAACCACATGCTGTTTCAAACAACACTGCAGCTGTGGCTTTTATGTGCATCAATACAGTATTTAGACACACTGTTGTCATGTGCAAGCTCAATACACAAAAAGCATTTCTAACAGTAGTATTAGTCGTTGCAGCAGAAGTAGTACTTGGAATACTAACAATCGCAGTAGTTGCAGTATAAGTGGTAGTGTAGTAATAATAATGGAGATAGTAGTAGCCACAGCAGGTGACACAGCATCAGTAGTAGTAGTTGTGGCAACACCTGCAGCAGTACCAGCTCCCATTTCAGTAGCATTGCAAATAGTAGAGACTAAGGTGGTGATTGTTGTAATAGCAGTGATAATAGTAGTAGTTTTAATAGCAGCAGTAGAAGCAGTATTACAGTTGTCCTGAGTAGTACTGGTGGTGGTACTCAATACCTGTATAGCAACAGTAGTAAGTTAGTAAAGTAGTACTGATAATATTTGTAACAAAAAGTATGGGTAACAGAAGCATTCATTTCCATTTTTTTTCCTATTTTTTCTTATCATCAGATCTTTCAGGGGAACCACAACCCAACAGATGAGGTTCACGCCTACCTCCCCAAACAGACTCTAGCTCGCTACATCCGCATCCGTCCCATATCCTGGGAGCAAGGCATCTGTATGCGCTTTGAGATATACGGCTGCAGAACATCAGGTAACGTTAGCAAACTCATACTGTACATGATATGAGGCTTCACTCCCAGCATTGAACTCATGATGCATTGTTTTATGTTCTTCAATAACTCCGGCACATCCTGTGAGTGCTGGAATACACACACATCCAATATTTTTTAATACATTTGCAAACTCTAAGCCTACGTTGTAAAACTTACTTTAACAAACGTAAAGTTGGCTTTCGTAACATTTTACAAAGATAAATGTTCTTTTACAGACTTTAGATGCATTTTTACAAACACTAAATGTATCCTTACGAAGGGAATTCATAAATAAAGTAACGCAAACACCTCTCATGAGATGAACTGAGTGAGGGGTTGATCTGCCCCATGGCCCCGGCCGGCTGTCCTTTTCGGACCGTACTCCCTTTTGTTTTCTCACTTTTGCACATCGTGAATCAAACGAACATCTTTTTGGCTGCCTGATGAGAATCTCCTGCTGCTCTCTGTTGATTTAAAATAATCACCACTTCCAAGGCGAGCGCAAACTCCCACAGAAGGACACCGTTATTCATTACAGAGGAGCAGAGGAAATCATGCTGCCTCATTACTCATCCTCTAACATTATATAAACCTTAGTCCTTGATGTGCTACAAGCAACTCTCAGTAGGAGAGCTCCATAAAGTAGATATTAGGCCCTTACTCATAGGAGAACAGGCTGTAGAGTGCTAGACAGGTGATTCAGGAGATATAATGACACAGCTGGGAAAGTGTGTGTTTGGTGTGCGAGTGCTGAACGTGAAACAGAACATAAACTTAAACCTCATCTTGACCTGAATTTATTCCAATTTCCTTAACCAAACTCCTAATCCAAAACATACAATTTAAAGAAGTGATCTAATACATGAAAGACAAGCTCACTTTTGCCCATGTAACCCATTTTTTCTCTCCCCTGGAAGGACATTTGGTACTCATAAACGCAGAAACACACATGAAGACACACAGACAGTACTGTGGGGGGCTTCCATAAAGAGCGCTGAGTAGCTGTAAATTCACATTATGGAAGAATTTACATCCTCAGGAGCTGTTGTTAAGCTGCAGATATAACTCTGGAAGCATTTGTCAAATACAAATATCACACTGAGACCGTGACTGTTTGAGCCCGGATATTAGATCTAGCTTGTTGTGGATAATGGATTTAACTTGGCTCGCAGTGACCAGACCATTGTGTCCACATATTTTAGAGTTTCATTAAGTTTTCTTATTCCGAGAAAACTAAACGCACAGCTAAAGCCTCTCAATTATCCAGTCATTTTCCCAGTACATTCCCTAGTACTTGAACAACACTGGGGAAAGCAGACTGGCCTGGTTGTTCAACAGATTGTCTTGTAGCCTGAAGGCCACATGTATCATCCCTTTCAACAGGCGAGTCTGTCAGTGTCAAGTGAACCATGAGACAAGACTTTGAACCTCCAACATTTGCCAAAGACTCTGCTACCAGCTGCTTCGAGGCTTCTGACAACGTATACTCATGTAATTCTCAGATGGACATGCAAAAAAGCACAAATTCCGCATTGTCGTATAGTATATCCTGTTGTTTTAATAGCACTAGTTGTAAAGTAACCTGAATGGCTGGCTGAGTTTATGTGAAGGCTTTACCGTAGGTACAGAAGATAAAATACGAGGTTTTCCTCCTTTTTGGTCAGAGGAGTTTTTCCTCATGTGAATCTGAGGTCGAGGAATAGAGGGTGTCGTATGTTGTATAGATAGTAAAGCCCTTTTTGATTATGGTCATATAAATAATTACTTGGCTTGACTTGAGCCTGGAAGTCGCGCCAGGGTCAACTTTTCTCGCCAGAGTCTGAGAGAAAAGTTCAGCTTGGCTCAACTTTCCGTGCATCATGTCATCCAGCGCGGTGCTGTTTTGCCCAATCAAGCACACGTTCCTGGTAGATTGCTTTGTTAGATTGCTTTGTAACACTAACAGTGTTTCTCTACTGTTTCCCTCCTGATAACTTCCCAGCGTCCCTCCTCTGAATACGATAACCTGCTGTGCAGTGTTCTGGCTTTTGATAATCCTTCAAACTGATGGATTTGCTACTCAAACTAGACTTACTGGATCATATTTCATCCTCTCACCGGCACCTGAAGCAACGCAGCCCTTAGAATTAGTTTTGATTGGCTGTTTTTTTCATTCTGGACACCCACTAAGAAGTATTTTGACGCAGTGTTCTTGTTGGCCTTCGAAACAGTAGTAGCAGTAGGTAGTCGGTCAGAGTTAGGGGTGCTGAGAGAAAGTCCGTCTCTAAATGACATCATGCTAAATGTATGACATTGAGAGTTTTTGGATAAATTTGAATAGTTGGGATAATTTATAGCATATTAAATCTTTGTTAATAACATTTCAGATACATTTTATAACTTTTTAGTGGATTGAACAGATAAGAATACAAGGTTAAACCCCTTTTTCTGCCATAAACACCAGTGTACACATGTAAATCCCAGGAAAAAGGGAAAAGGACAGGCTAGATTTTCCAGCAACCATGAGTAGGAGAAGTAGTAATACTAAAGCACAGATACAGTCATGCATGTTTGCTCTCCATGGTCACGTCCATTTTGGAGTATGGAGAATCATACCAGTGCTAGTGGCTGCATCTGTATTAATAGTACACAAGTAGCCAACAATACAGTAATTCACTCAAAACAACAATACATGCTTATACACACAAAAAGCTACATCATTCCACGTTCAGCTTAAAAAAACTCCTCCCAGAGATGATAAATTAGTCTTTGGTGTTTTTACTCTTAACTTAACACTGTAGCTGCGCCCAGAGGGCATCAACTAAAACCGCTGACTAAAGCAGTGACAAGATAAGGATGACAGTAGCCTTTCTTATCATACTCTACGCCTTTCAAAAGTTTCTTATCCAACAGTGTTTCCCTCTTTCTCTCTCTCTCTCTCTCTCTCTCTCTCTCTCTCTCTGCACAGACTACCCATGTTCAGGGATGCTGGGGATGGTCTCAGGTCAGATCTCAGACGCTCAGATCAATGCCTCGTCGTATGCTGACCGGGGCTGGGTGGCTGAAAACGTCCGCTTATTGACGGGGAGATCGGGCTGGACTGGGCAGCAAACCAAGCAGCCCTTCAGAAACGAGTGGCTACAGGTGGGTTTTATACTGAACATTGAAAGTTTAGTGACAGGGAATAGCCATACTTTGTATTTTTTAGGGTGTAATGGGTTTGTTTCATTTCTGCTGCAAGAAACAGTTTATTGAACCAAAAAAGAACGGAACAATCACTTATGAATAGTCTATGTATCAGTCAGTGAAGTCTGCTATCATCGTTTGTCCCTAAAGTCAAATCAACCGTTTTGCCCTTTCTCGTCGTCCCTGGCAGGTGGATCTGGGCCAGGACAAGATGGTGAGCGGCGTGGTGATCCAGGGAGGGAAACACCGCGACAGGAACGTATTTATGAAGAAGTTTAGGGTGGGCTACAGCCTGGACGGAGTGGACTGGACCATTGTCAAGGAGGACAACACCACCAAGCCCAAGGTTGGTTCAACACGTGCATACATAATGTGCATTCAACCTGCGTTTGACACACGTGGTTCCACGCACATTACTGCTAAAATGATACAGAATCACAGAACTAAAGGTTGGATCAGTCAACATCTTTCTCCAGAGTGACTTACCCCACCTTTAAATCCTCATCCCTAAGACATGTGTCCGTCTGTCTAGTAGTTTCTGACCCCAAGTTGAGAGAAAGGTTGCCTTTTTAGATCGGCTGCTGACTCAGTTTTGACTCATGTGACTGTGTTGATCTGAAAGTTGTATCAGCAATACGGTTATCAGTCTTTGTATTTGTGTATTTAAAACAGTAGATGTTTATACACCACTTTTAGAATTAGTACAGCAAGAAGTGGTCGTCAATAGTTGTATTTATCTGAAACATAGCTTATTGTGCTGTAGATTCATTAGTGAGCAAATGAGAATTCAACTAAAAAGCTTGTAAGATGTGAAACCTTCTTTTTTCATCCACTTTTGGCTCGTCCTCTCTTCCCTTCTGTATCATACTGTATCCATGCTGTCTGCCTCGTTCAATGACAGTATGTTGATGCAGGCCAACACAGATGAACAGGAAGTAAATTATACAGGAGACAAATAAAAGGTTGTTGACATGAAATAAACCTCCCCTTACTGTAATCTGTAATTCCTGGAGGCCATCAGACAGACGCTCGACTGGCCGCATAGCGCCGCTCCTGGAATGAAATGTTTTAGTACCCAAATTACAGACTACTATTCATATGAGCTCTGACTGAGCTGTTTGTTGGATGCTTTTGTCTGACGCGCTCAACAGAACCTTGACACAAGGAATGATTAAGCTTTCAAATGTAAATTGGGTTGTTGTAGGAGCAAATAATATTACAGGTAAGAAATACAGACTAGAAAATGAAATATAAGGTTTAAGAGGATTTTTTATTGATTCCTTTATCCATTACTTTTCTACAGTCAATATTTAGCCTTAATAACACCCCCAAAAATACCAAAACAATATGTAAAATCACATTTCTGAACCTGACTTAATTGAATTTATTGGATTTACTCACTAAAATCTTAACAACTGCTGTAATCCAGATAAGAAAATGGAGGAGCTGATAAAAAAACATTAATATATTCATCTGAGTCACCTTCCATTATTGCTGTGTGTTCACAACAATTATGCTTTTAGAGCTCCAGGAGCAATTTGCCAGCGTCCTGCCAGCTGCCACCTCCTCTTTGTGTTCTTCATTCAATATCAAAGGCACTCTGTAGTAAAGACAGAAATACACAACATTATTTCAGGTATCAGGTCTCTAGGAAAAAAAGCTAAACTTGTTTTTAAGCGGTGCATTCAAAATGTAACAATTTGCATCTTTCTGTTTTTTTTGTCATTATAATTATATTCACAATAACCCTTTTTGATTCATTCTACTCCCCCACTGAAACAAAGCCTACGCTGTTGTAAATTACTGTGAATATATCAGTCAGTTAGCCATTAATGTCACTTTGTAAACGGACGAATGTTGTTCTTTTTTTAGCTTTACTGTAGAATCGATCAGCTGAAACCGTTTCCACAACATACATATCTCACAGAATCATCTGGTTTGAATAAACAGAGGAACAATTGTGTGGTTGAAATGAGTTGTAATGGCCTCAATGGCTGAACAAATGAGGACAAGAGCGCCACCTGCACCTTCACCAGAAAATGTAAAGAAGACACTGCAGTCACAACACATTACATTGAACATTTTAAGTAAAACTAAAAAAAAAAGTCAACATGGATACTTAATGAAGCAGCTTTTACTGGTATTTTTTAAGTGACAGAAGTTACAGAAATATTCCTGATTTTGTACTTTTTAATATGTATTTTCTTAATAAAAATGACCAAATTAAGTCAGTATCACTTTTACTGAAGCTACTTTTTTAACTAAATTGAGTTGGTTTTACTTTAAATGTTTGACGTGATCAGTTTCAACAATGTTTTGAGTTAAATTAATTTATATGGTTTCATGGAGCTTTCAGTACGAAACACAGAGACAAGATAAAAAAAAATATCACAGACTCAGATCACCACTAGTAAATATGAGATCCCACCAGTCTTGGTCCTCTAACCCTTCTTGGCGATTGGTGCGACTTTGATTCTGATCCTCAAGAGGAAATTCATGTCATTGCTTTCAAGACCCCACTTCCTCTCCTCGGCTGGCCCTGTTGGTGCCACTTCCTCCTCTATGTGTTCCAGATGGCAGGGCGGAGGACGAGGTTAGCCATCAGACTCCTGCTGATTTACTGCAGACGGAGATCTACATGCTCCTCTGTCCCTTCACTCCACCTCTCTGCTCTGTTTCCTGTGTCTTTTTATAAAGCCTCTTCAAAAGATCTAGGCAGGAAGGTTCAGGAAGGTCCCTGGCTGGTACATGCGTTTATACATGCCTCAGCTCACACACTGTACACACTGTATGCTCACGTATGTGCACTGTGTGCTCGTGCATAAACAGAAGAAGAGACTTAAATAAGCAGAAACACCAATTTAGACATGTGTTTTATATAACATGTGATTATGTGCTACACAGTAGGTTGAGGAACATTTAGGGAGTTACATTTAGAATAAGAGTGAATTTGAATTGTTGTTAACTCAACCTGATGTATTCAGGTTCAGTTTGGAGCTGAACTCTATTTAATTTTATTATAATTATTGATTTTATGATTCATCCCACATCAGTAGGCCTGACAATTACACGTGAATAAACATGTTTTGGTGTATAAAGTGCTGAACACTGAAAAATAACAAAATCGTGTGTACTTAAACCTACTGTTGCTTAAAATGAATCAGTTTATGGGTGCGGTGTTGGTACACGTCCCACACAGAGACACAGAAACGGAAACGACAATGCGTTAAAAATGGGGTAATTACACTTTACAGGTAAGTTTTGCAGAAATAGCGATGTAATTTGGCACTTACTTTAACTAAAAAGTTAAATTTCCTTAAAAGAACAGCTCAATTTAAACCCAAGTAAATATTAATGCATTATTATGCATTTATTATAGAGTTATTTCAGATATCCTTGGCTCCAGATGTAAAAGTCTCATTAATTTTTCCCATAGATAATATTACATCTCACAGTTGGAGTTCCTGTTCAGCTTTGATCAGCATGAAACTCCCCGAGCTAAATCATCATTACAAAATAACTAAATAATTAAAAAGAACCGTGTTAGAAACTATCTCTCTTTGATAAAGACACTAAGGTACAGCTTGTGGAGAAACTTTGAGGAATACCGGTAACTACGACTCCCATGGTGCATTTCAGCAAAGAAAGAATCCAATCAGCGAGCTTGGAAGAGGTGGAGGTGGAAGCTAAATATGAAGGTGCTGAGAAAACACAACAGATGTTAAAAACTAAAAACTAAACCATAAAAATAGAATAAAACAAAAAATTTATCTTCATCAAAGGGGCATTAAAAAAGACAGTTCAGTACACACACAACATAAATAATGAGAGTTAGCATATAGCATTGATCTGATTGGATTTTCAATCCTGTTTATTTGTAATGTAAACAGGTAAAATAATCCCTTTTTTATTATTATTTATTGTCAAAAACAAACAAAAGAAGAAGCTAAAGAGTTAGCATTCTGTTTAGCATGTGCCACTGTAGTTCCACGCAGGCAAAGAGAACAACTTTTTGTGTATTTTGTTTTGTTCCCTTTTTGCACACATGGTCACATCCTAGCCACGCCCAAAATGCCACACAGCAGCCTGGGATAAATCAGGCAAAAGGAAGCCTCAGCGGTTCAGACAGGCAGGAGTGCTTTTGGTGTTCGGTGTCCGACCACTTGACTCCCAGTGTGACGGAAACCATTTTCATCTGTGCTGTTTCCATGTCGGACGTATGAAAGGATGGCCTCTGGTTGTGATTTCCCCCGGTGTTTGCTTTTGTTTCCTCTCTTCATTCGGTTTAAACTTCTTATCAAACTGTCCAACGCTGGATCAGAAACAGATTTACATCAGAACAGTATACGTTATTGTGTGTTTTATTCCCGTTCAGCGCCCGAGGATGGGCTTCACAGCGCAATTAGTGGTTTTCCCAGCAGGAAGAGAGCAGTCAGATTTGCCCATTTCTTTCTGTCATTTACATAATGACACTGTGATTTATTCAGAAAAAGAAAATCATTCTTAGCTACAGTTTCTGGAAAAGGATTTCCTAATGTTCAACGCAATATAGCCTAACATTACATTGTAGTGCTTTACTGATCTGTGAACACTGTTTTCTGATACTCTGGGCTACATAAAATCAACTCAAGCGACTATTTGCAGTTAGAAATTGGATCAGACAGAGAGTGTACCAACTTCAGTCAACAGTCTCTCATTACTTTTCCTTAAAAAAAAAAACTAATTATACAGTTAATTTAATGTTAAAGCCTCTGTAAGAAATGTGTCTACCAGGCTCTGATATGTCTCTCTTGTCTTCTGCCTCAGATATTCTCCGGGAATCAGAACCACGACACCCCAGAGCTGAGGTCGGTGGGTTCCCTCCTGACCCGCTTCGTCAGGATCTACCCAGAGAGAGCCACCAACGAGGGCCTGGGCCTCCGACTGGAGCTGCTGGGCTGTGAACTGGACGGTGAGTGTCCATGCGTTGACTTCATATGAAATGTTGTTTAAAAGAACTTGAACCAACATTTTTCTTTCAAATACAGCAGGTTAGGTTAGTTTCATAAAGAACATTGAGTGTTTTGGTATTTTTATCATAATATAGTCCAGGATTCTTGTAATATCCATCATTTAGTGTTTACATGAACATTTTTTGATCTTTAACTTATATATTATAATAATAATATCTAATGATTGAACTTAAAGGGAATTCACAGGCCTACTCTATGTATCTAAAACCTTTATTTATTGCCAAACAATAACAAGAAGGGCGAGTATAAACTGTCAACCCCAAGGCAATTTGTCTCGTCATATTACATTTTAATATTACAATATTACATGGAGGTTGATATTAAAGCAGAGCACTCCTGTGGTTTCTGGCTTTGGCAGAGTTGTTCTTGGTCGAGAATAAGTGCTCAGCTCAGCTTTCACAGACTGTTACAAATAACATACAGAAAGGCAGCTGGGTTAGAGGAAGTGATGCTTTCCTTAAGATAGCTCTTACTGCAGCTGCATATGGGGTTTTCAATCAGTCATCTTCACACTAATATGGACAAACTTAAATTAGGAATGATCCTTTTAGAATATTTAACTCCATATTAGCACCTGTCAACACCTGAAACCACATTCTTCAAACTTAAAGAACCAGTGTGTAGGATTTAGTGGCATCTAGCAGTGTAGTTGCAACTTCCTCACCTCACCCTCCCCTTCTAAGCACGAAGGAGAAACTATAGATAGATAGATAGATAGATAGATAGATAGATAGATAGATAGATAGATAGATAGATAGATAGATACTTTATTTATCCCGAGGGAAATTCAAGACCACACAACCACAATAACACTGTATGGCATCTCATGATCATGGGACTTTGCATCAGCATTGATTTGGGGCTTTCAACTACAACATTTCTCACCACCAAAAACATTCAGCGTGTTCTCAAGGGGATACATTCAAAAACTGCAGTCTTGCATAGACAACAGCGTTTTTCAAAAACAGTGAGATAAGACCAGCAGGTTATATTATGTATGTCAGTGTCATGTGAACCATTTTTAGATAATTAGCTAATACCCTTCTGTCAGTGTTCTTTGAAAATGATGGAAAGCCACTTGTAACAACGTGTAAAAAGCCAACAAGGCGTCTATGATGAGTGTCCACACACCAGGGGCGAGTGTTTTCTGTGTAAGCCTATACAACAACAGCATCAAAGCACATCACTACTTCTGTCAGCACTTTTCCATTGTACTTTAAATAATGTTACACCACATGGGCAGTGTGTATGTGTGTGTATTGCCCTAAAGTCACAGGGGGCCAATAGTGGGCTTCAGTGCAAATGCCAAAATTGTTGGAAAAACCACTGTAAAACATTGGTGCAAAAGTCAGATGTTCAACATGCAAACAGCACTTTCAGATGCATTTGCATTAATGCGTTGTTGGCCTCAGTCAGCCAACCAATCAGCCATTTAAACAGTGAACTGCTGCTTACACTTCAGGCTGCTTATCTGCACTTTAATGAGAGAGTGAGGAGAGCGAGCACATGAAAGGCTGACGCATGCCATGGCAGGCTACTATCTCTACCGCTGCAGTGGTCAGAGCTGGATGGTGTGTGTGTGTGTGTGTGTGTGTGTGTGTGTGTGTGTGTGTGTGTGTGTGTGTGTGTGTGTCAAAAGAGAGATACGAGGACTCGACCTCCAACAGTAGGTGAGGGAGGAACAGATGAAGGGAGGAGGGAGGCTCTCTGGAGTATCTGGTTGCCCTGTAGGGAGAATAAGATAAGGATCAGTCAAAGCAGGAGAGAGATTGCAGAGTAGAGGATGAGAGATGTGTGTGTGTGTGTGTGTGTGTGTGTGTGTGTGTGTGTGTGTGTGTGTGTAGAGAGAGAGAGAGAGAGAGAGAGAGAGAGAATTGGATGGAATAAGAGCAGGAGGGACAAGATGAGAGAGAGATGAGAGAAGTAATGGAGATAAGGAGATAAACTTCACCTTACAGGGGGATTTCAGGAGGTCCTGGTCTTGGAACTAACTCCTAAGAAGTTACCCTAATAACCCTAACCCTAAAAAAAACTTTAAAAAGTTTGGGGGTCTCAGCAGCACAGAGACTGCGACAGACCTGCTGAATTTTGGAGGCACCACAGATGGCACTGGAGATAAACAATAGAACGATTAAGTGAGTGTGTGTGTGTGTGTGTGTGTGTGTGTGTGTGTGTGTGTGTGTGTGTGTGTGTGTGTGTGTGTGTGTGCGAGAGAGAGAGAGAGAGGGTGAAAGGAGTGAGAGCAAAAGAAAAAAAGAGAATAAAAAGGGGGAAAAGAAACTCTGTGGTTTTTGAAGCAGTGTGTCTGTATTTGTCCCAGATGAACAGAGTTTCCTTTCAGGAAAGAACAAAGCTGCTAAGAGCACATACATACACACACATTTGTACATACTCAAATATTATGCAAGCACATGTGTACACTGGAAAAGTCGTACAGATGCATATATAGACACTTTAAGCCCACACACACAAACATACACGTTAGCAATCCTGTACTATACAATTATCCAAATCATACCCCTCTCATACCTCACTGAGGCAGTTTATCTCTTCATTAACGTACATAATGATAAAGCTCTGACCTCAAGTGCTGTCAACAGCTAAACAAGCTGATTCCAGACTATTAAATAATCAAAATGTACTAAAGTTGATATTAAAAGCCTTTTTTTTTAATACAAGGTGCTAGATGTAAGATCAGTGAAGTAGCAGATCCTTTTGGATTCATTGAACGACTGTCTCAAAAAGTCTCTTCCTGTTGCCACAAAAACATTGAAATGCCAACTGAAGCTCACAACAACACAAGAGAAACTAACAAGCTCACAATACGCCTGCAGATCAGTTTCAGCAGTTTAATCAGGGTAGGTCTTTTTTTTTTGTTATTGCCGATGCTGCTTCAAGCTTCGAGTTAAATCATCTCCTTACATCCACGCTGCTGCGAGAGCAAACCTCCATCCCACTCAAAGCGTTGCAAACACGTTTCCTTACAAAGTTTAATTACATGCACACCATCTGTGATTTTTACATAGCCTACATATGCTAATTCAAGTTCAATTTGCTTCATTTGCATAAAAACACATCACCAGACATCGACTGTATGGTAGAATTTAACAAGATACAAGAGCGTCTGTCAGTATTACTTTGGTCTTTGATGGGAAACAAGAGTGTCGGTTCTTCAGTCTTCAGAAAAATGGAGGCACTTGAGTTTTGCAGGATTATCAACGAGAGTATCTGGTATTCAACCTGATATCTCTTGCGTAGGTAATGCAAGGCCAAAGGTCTTATGATGTTATTAAAATTTGGCTAAATTTAACATCCCTTTCATTTCAAAACTGCTCAGATGCCCTTAACAGTTTCATTAGATCCCTCTTCTTCCTTTCTTTAAGGATTTTCTTTTTAGAACAAAAAGCCCCAGGAACATAGGATCAAAGGTCTTCTTCTGCACAGTCCTGTTTGCATTTACACCACATATTAGGAGCTGTGAAGATCAGGTTACTGATAACAGCTGTGGTTGACACGCTTTTTTTCCCCTTTGTTGTTGTTCTTTGGGGTTTGTTTGCAATGAGGAGCAACACTTGAAGACCTGTTTCCAAAGTAACACTGATCTGCTCGTTATTTTTAAATTAAAGGTTTCCTGTTTGCTTTCCCACCGCAACTTAAGAATCATGAAGATTGGGTTTTTAAAGCAGCGATGAGCAGCTCAGTTCCCTTTTCTTGTTATTTTTCTGCCAAAGCAGTTTTTTGTTAAAGATTGTTTTGTTAAGTTTTGTTTTTCTTGTTTGCCTTTGCTCAGTTAGCTCATTTAACGCTGCAAACTCTGCCATTATAGTTCTTAGACATCAGAAAATAGTGCTCATTCAGCAGGGACTTTTTTGGTGGCACCAGTTAATTTTAGACCCTGGTTCCTCCTGTGGAAAGGGAAGTAAAGTTTTCTAAAAGAGGTTCCTCGGGTTCCTGGAAAAGTTCTTGCAGTGTAAAGGAAATGAATGTGTGAGCTAGTTATTCTTATTCTTTACTGTTGTTAAATGTATCCACTTTTTTCACTTTCTTTGTTGATATTTCTTTTTAATTGACTGAAAGAAATCGAATGTACTTGTGTGTGTCTGTGCAACTAGCAAACGTCGTTGACTTTGACTCTGACTGTTATCCATCTCTCTTTTTTTAGACATTACGACTACAGCACCTCCCACCACGCCTATCGCCTCCACACTTCCCATGACCACGTTCGGAGCGACCACCACTGCGCCGATCACCATCCCCGGCACGACCCAGACTACAGACTGTGAGGAAGGACAACAGGACTGTGGCGGCGAGACCGAAGCACCCGATGACTACGACACAGGGACAGGTAAACCTCCATCACTCAGTTCCCTCCTCCATGTCTGTATTTAGGATTTTATTTTTGTAGCACCACCCAAAGCGAAGATACGATGTTCTTTGGAGGCAAAGAAAACCTGCATCCTTTTTAATCGTAGCATCTCCTGAATTGCAGTGCAACCCGACACAAAAGCTTGGTATTGATTTCCCATAAACTGAGGTGTGTTGAGTATGTGTTGGCATCTGTGTGGGTGGGACAGAACCACACGACCTTTGAACCCACTCTGATTGTCCCATCTGTTTCATGCAGGAGTCGCCACAACGCTCAACCCCATCATGGAAATCCTACCAGGTGAGGCTGTCCACCACAATCTGCTTCCATGTTTACTCTTCTCATCTTTCATTTGTTCCTCTTCTTCTCCTCCTCTGATCTACTCACATTTTTCTGTCTTTATCTGTTATATTTTCTCATTTTTTTCACTTTCTCTACCCGTCATCCTCTCTTTCTCTCTTCTCTAAACTGCAGTAACTTTAAACTGGAGGTTTTACAAATAAATCAGCCAGCACAGGGTTGCCACATCAGTGTATTAATTCAACCAATAGTCCCATCATTCAGTGTCACCAACAGTACTGACCGCAGTCACAGAGAACAATGAAACTGACTTCTATGGGATTAAATGGCTTTTTCATTGCCCCAGTTCACAAATGAGCCCAATACTGCTCAGTGACTTGACAGCAGAGAGAAATGTTGATAAATTTGCCCTGAAAAATACATCTGCATTGTTTTTGATCATGTTTTTTCATCGCTCATGCCATTAAATCAAATTGAATTGAATTGCAAAGGGATGAATAAGAAAAGAAAGATACAGATATGCTGAGAGAAAGACAGAAACCACACACACACACACACACACACACACACACACACACACACACACCAAGAGAATAATTGATTCAGAAAAAAGTGAGAGGTAAAGAGACAGAAACCAAAAACAGCACGACACAAATCTCTTGTTCTCGCAGTTAAAGCGATAAAATAATGGTTATTTTATTTACCTCTACATTGCAAAGGTTTCAGATGCAGCAAAAAGTTTGTTTTATGATACTCAGGTGAGAAGATCTTTCTGGCTTGTGATGCCTCAAAGGTCCAGTGTGTAACATTTAGGAGGATCTGTTGGCAGAAAGGGAATATAATATTGATAGGTATGTTTTCATTAATGTATAATCATCTGAAAATACGTAAGAATCAGGTTTTTATTATGTTATTACTATTCTTTTGTGGAGTTTCTACAGTAGCCCAGAACAGACAAACCAAACACTGGCTCTTGATTGGGCCTGCGTTTTTCACCACTATAGTTTCTCCTACATGCTTAAAATGGGAGAGTGAGGGGAGGTGGTTGTAATCTGCAACTACACAACTTAGATACCCCTAAATCCTACACACTGGTCCTTTAAAAAGAAGCAATGTCTGCCTGCAACTCCTTCTCACAGGTCATGGACTTGGTTGTATGCATAAGTTATGATCAATTCAACTAAAAAGTGTTTTTTCCGTCTCAGACTGCTTGATTTTAAGGATTTTTTAAGGCCTAAAGAAGTGAAGATATCCAATGTTTCACTAAGAAAATTAGAGAAAAGTCAAAAAATGAAACATCGTTTCTGTAGCAGAATGTATTTATAGGTTTGGGATCCACTACAATATGGTGATCTGATCAAGAAACCGACTCAGGGCATTTGAGGTTCAAACCTGTGCTATGTTGAAGTGGGTTCAGCAGCAGAAGGAATGGTGGGGAAAACATTAGACATGACATTTTTGACCAATTGCATACACTCTGCATTTAAAGCCAAAAGCAGCGGCGTGTTTGTCACCTAGCTTTATTTTCCGCATGAACATCTCAGCACCGTGTCACAGTTTATCTTCCCTTGTGAATACACCAAATTCAATCCATTTGTAAGTGAACTGCCAGCCGAAAGAAGGAGAGAGCGGGTGAATCGGCAGAAAAGGTAGGAAAATAAGACAGAGGAGAAGGAGAGTCAGTGAGAGGAACAGATAGACACAGCAAGAAGGTGAGGAGGATGAAGAGATAGAGGCAAAAAGAGAAGAATGGAGTTATAGTGAGAGCTGGAGAGAGAGAATAAAGGCCTCCTGGGTCTCAATTAGGCGAGTCGAAGCATCGCGTGAAGACAGCTTGAGGTCGGAGGAGTGTTACCAGCCCCACGGTCGTCCCTGCATCCTATTAGCCTCCCGGAAAACAACATGTCCAGTGTTCACAGACTTCTGCATTCATCTGGATGCTGTGGTGAACCTCTGCCGCCAGTCAACCGCTGGCACAGGCAGAAAGGGAGGGAGGGAAATGTAATTTATTTTTTTTTTCTCTGTTTGGGTTTTTTTCGGGGGGCCACATCCGCATGTTGGTGGCACCACGCCTTTCTCTGTGAAAGGTCCCTCCATTCCTCCCTGTCTCTCTCTTGATGTCCTGATCCCAAACACATGTACATGTTGGCGCTGTTTTCCATAAGCGGTGACGTCTTAGTTCCTGTGTTCAATTGAGGCTGTGCCCTGCAGCGCTTTACCAAGTATACAATTACAACTGTCTCTCAGTCGTTCTCACCCCAATCCATCTGCACAAGCCTTTTGTTTTGGCGCGATATGTTTTCCACCAGCTATACAGTTTATACTATGCATACAATACAGCAGGAACAGCTTTCTAATATTGATGTTACAAGACTTCCAGTTTCTTCTTCAGGCTGCCTCCTCTCCCCATGCAAAACTGAAGCCAGTTTAGTGGGTGAACACTGTCCATGATTATAGTTTTTAGCCTGTAAAACCGAAAATTGGTTGCCACACAGCAGCTTTTAGGAACTCCAGCCTCTAAGAGTCCAGCAGCTAACACTTTTTGAAACATTTGATGGTCTTTCTGGATAATTTCACAGGTTGTCCCTCCATGTCCAAAGGCAAAAGTGTTGCAGTTCCAAACTTGCCACAGGAGCCAGGAAAAAAGCCTTCTATCATAGTCTCCTCCTGGCTTCATCACACTGCCTCCTTCATCTCTCACATGTTTTTGTAATTTTTTTTTTTTTTTGCACAATGAATAATACAAATGAGTTGAACGGAGCACACAGTCTTTCCTCGGAGACTTCCAAAGGTGTTCTTCTCAGTTGTACGCACAAAATATACGAGAAAGAGTTGGTACAAAGGATGAAAAAAAGAGAACAAATAGTTTCTCACCTTCACACAGCAGGTCAATAAAGCTCTTCTGATTCCAGTGTCAGACAGAGGGTTTCAGACGCAGTTAAACAATCAGTCAAGCATTTCCATTTAAGCATAGTGAGGTCTTCACTGCGACAGCTAGAAATAAGAGTACAGGTCTCATTGATAAAAGTGCTTGGATATGATTCATTTTGAAGGATACTCATCCCTCTATGGTTGGTTTTTGAAACCTTTTCAATACCACAGTCTATATATCTATCTATATATATATATATATATATATCTATCTATATATATCTCCAGTGAGGGATCATCACTGGAAAGATCCAGTGATATAGACTTTATATCGTATCGTATCGCACTGACTGTGTCCAGGAGATCTTGGGTAGATAGCGTGAACCTCCACTCTCTTTTGTTCTTGTGGTTGAGCTTCCTGCTTTGGGGTGAAAAGAAGAGCCTGATAACACAGTGTGTTTCAGAGGAGACAACCGAGGGGGCTTAGTACAGACCAAAACATTTTAAGAAATGGGAAAAGGTTAACTAGTGTTGAACTAATCAGCAAATCGACAGAACAGCAAATAAATAAATACATTTATCATCTCTTTTCATCATAAGCTGAATCAGACAAAATAAGCAACTGAAAGTCGACACTTTGGGCTCTGGCATCTTGTGATGGGAAGGGTATTCTTCCTTTTTTCTGCTATTATATAGATCAACAATCTTATTATAGAACATATATATATTAGCTGATAATGAAAATAATCCTAACACAGTAAAACAGCTGACAATTTGAAGACTAACAGTCATGACTGTGTTGCATCTGCTTTGATCCATATTCTCCTGAAACTTCAGCTCATGTAAAAGCGCTATGAAACATCTCAACTGAAAACCTCCTTCATCACCAAACTCACTTCCAACTGCTCTTATCTCCTTTTTCTTGCAGCGTACGTGTGGTTCGCCTGCAACTTTGACTTCTCGTCGCTCTGCGGCTGGACCGAAGAGACCGGGATGGGGGCTGAGTGGCTGATCCAGACCAAGGGGGCTCCTGCCGTCCACAGAGGACCGACCCTGGACCACACAGGTAGGAGATGTGTGTTCACCTTTGTGTTCAAGGGTTTTGTTTAACCAGCAGCACTCGGCAGATGCTTTGGGAGAGCACGCTGTGGCTCTTCATGTTACTGCGCAGCTGTTGAAAGCTTGTCTGAACCTCTTTTGCTAGAAGATGGAATATTTTTAACTCCTGTACGCTTTAAATAACACGCTACAAGCTGTGCTGCTGGGAATTCACAACAGTGCCTCTTTTTTTAAATGAGGAAAAGATGCCTACAATGTAATAAGAAATTCCCGTCGGACACATAGCCTTATTCCTACTCTGAAGGACAAAGAGTTTGTGAACGTGGAAAACTATCAAAGTTGTGGTGTGGAGGCAGCGGGTCCATATTAATGGGAACTTCTCCAGGTATAAAGATATTCTGGTGACATTCATTCAGACTGGAGAGGCTGACCAGCTGAAGTTACATGAGGTTTGTTTTACTCATTTTTTTGTGGACTTCTCTAAGTAGATTTTCTACCCTCTTGGCATCCAATAATGTTCATTTTTTTAAGAGTTTGTATCAAAAACAAACTCTCTGCAGCAGTGCAGTTCAGCTTGTCTCCACACTTCATGACGGGGGGCGTGTGCAGAAAGAACACAGCCAGAAAGTAATCAGGTTAATAAGGTCAGAGCTGTTTTGACATGAGCATGTTTTACAGTACAAACTGAAGCAAGATTAAACTCAAGGACATCCTTGGTTTGTAATTCCCTTCTAAAAATTGTCTTTTTATAGGAAGTTTCCCTGAACTTTCAAATCAGAGTTCATACTGTTGTTTAGATTTTACAGTATAGTTTTTTGTGTTTTTATCTATGGTTTTCTTTATTTTCTGTGTCTTGGTAACCAGCGTCGGTTGGTTAGAATGGGACCATTGTGGATGAATAAATGTGACCTTTGACTGAACAGCAACGTTGTCTGGGCAATAATAAGCAGGGATAATAATAACTTCATTATTCAAATTGGAAAACGTCATTGGAGTGTCCCGGTCAAGTTAGGCAGCAATAACAAAGAGTTACAGACAAACAACATATGAGAGATAACACAAACTGTGCAAGAAAATCTGAATTAAACAGAAATGTGAACATAAATCATAAATAAAATGTCTAATATAATCATAAAGACAACCTAAATGGCAGGTTAGAACACCCACAAGCTGTCTAAATCCATCAAAATTAACAAGATCAATCTAAAACAATAAGCTAATGAGGCTAAGAAATGCAAAGAAACAGAGCTCAATTCATAACTATCTGTCAGCACTGAACAGAGCGGAGCAGAACTTGCAGATGCTTTGATCTTTAGAACATTTTGACAATGAATGGACGGCCTTGAAAAACTTCTTTTTAAAGAATACAGCAGTCAAATTTATCAGTATGCCTCAGCTCGCTGGCCTCCCCCATTCAAACCTCCTGTGATGGATGTTTTTGTGGAGACAGCTACAGCTCTAAAATGAATGGTTTCACCTTGATTTCTTGACTCAGCCAGATCACAAGTAACAAATGAGCCTGTTGTGATGTCAAGTCATATCTTCCACTGAGGCATGCTGATACTGAGTGCTTTGTTTTCAACCAAAACAAAACTACAAAGTCCTTCAATTTAAGGTCTAGGGGTGTGTGACACATGATACCTAACAATTAAACTTACTTTAGAAAGTATTGACTTTATGAGTGAATAGTGAAACATAACAGAATAGTCAGGTCTTTGTATTAAGCAATCAATTTAATGTGATGAATGCATAATGAACCCTTGGCAGAAACCTTTTAATGTCACAATAGAGCTTGATATCAATCATATTAATGCTTATTTTTTTTATTAAAAATGTACAGAAAACAGCAATACTGACTGTATCTTTAAAGTCTTTAAGGTCCTATTTTGAAATTCTGGTGAAACTGAGTATTTAAAAGAGTCATCATATCTACAGTAGTGTGTTTCTACGCTGTCAGGAGCCCTTCAAAGCAACTTCTTACATTGTCTTTTGCTGCCCCCCTGCAGGCGGACCGGGGAACTTCATCTACATGCAGCTGAGTGACACAGACGTGTCGAGTAAGACCGGCGAAGATGATGATAAAGAGGAGAAGGTGGCGAGCTTGGTCAGCCTGCCCATCACCGCCACAGACATCGACCTGTGCATGTCCTTCTGGTATCACATGTTTGGTGAACACGCAGGAGCTCTTCACATCAAGCAGAGGAAGCAGGCGAAGCCGGGGCAGATCCTGTGGACGGTCAGCGGTCACCAGGGCAGCCGGTGGAGGGAGGGACGAGTTTTACTGCCACACTCCAGTGTCTCATATCAGGTAACACACACTCCTGGATGTGTCAGACATTACATGTGTACATAAAATGATATCTGTTATCGTGTAACTGCAACATATGAGGTTTTAATCTGGTTTTGATTCATTTATTTTCATTTTTTTGTCCTTTTATGGGATAAAAAGATTCTTCCATTGTCCATTTGGGCAGTTTTTGTCTCACATCATGTTGATGTGCTGTTATCGAACATAAAAATGACATAAACAAAACCTGTAAAGCCCCCACAGGCTTTAAAGAGAGAGACAGCAGAACCAGGAGAATTGTTATAAAAATATAAAAAGCACTGTGCACCTTGCAGCAAGAAGGTCTAGGCTGGACTTTGGGTGGTCCAGTTTCCTCCCCCAGTAGAATAACATGCTTGTTAGTTGGAAATGCAGAACAGGAAACTAATTTTCCCTGTGACTTTTTTTGGGCGTTCCCTGCCTCTGGCACAGTGCATGCTGGGATAAGCTGGAATTGGTTTTATGTGTTTTAACATAAAGCACTTTGTGCTCAAACCAGGAGTGGTGCAGTTCATGGTTGGTGCCCACTCTTGCAACCAAATAGCGATTTTCTTTTCTCATATTGTTTCATTTTAACAAATACGAGAGGTCAGAGAAAGTAAAGCTGTTCATATGTTCAACAAGAGGATACTTAAAGGTCCAGTGTGTAACATTTGAGTGAATGAGTGAGTTGCAATCTGCAACTACACCACTAGATGTCACTAAATCCTACATACTGGATCTTTCAGGAAAATAAACAGACTTTTGTATAGCAAAATTATCATGATCTTTGATATTTATCTTGCAACCTCTTGGTGGGTCATGTCCTAAAGGAGGGGAAAGACTGATTTAAAACCAACTGTGAAACCAGCAGGGGTGGGCTAGGAAGGGAAATACAACTTTTAAAGATATAGTTTGGGTGGAGAGTTGATTGGTTTTGCTGAGACTGACCACATGTTGTTATTCGTAGGTGATTGTGGAAGGCGTTGCAGACAAACGCAGTGCAGGTCACATAGCTGTGGACAATATCCAGATCCTGGATGGACTCCATCCTGAGGAGTGCAAAGGTATGTACTTATTGTTTTAACTTGTTTATTAAAGGTCACAATGGTACATTTATACATTTTATACTAGTTCTGTGTCATCTACAGTCGCTATGCTTTAATCTAAATCTTTTCTTTTTTTTGTCCTCCAGACCCAGAAGCTCCTACATCTCCGCCAACTGAGATCTTCATCCTACGTAAGTACCTTCCTGACTCTAATTGTGCCATTACAGTGTGTTTGTGGACACGTCTCCACAGACTTTCTTTGCCTCCACAGTATGGTAGAATTGCTAAGACTAGTCCTCAGCTGTGTTGTGTGCACAGAAGTCAGACATTTTCTAGTTGAAGGATCACACTTCTGTTCACCTTCTACAAGTTTCTTTTCTTTTTTCCATGAAAAATCTTGTCTGTCGCCTCCAGAAAAGTAAAAATGTTTATACTGTTTGTAGCAGAAGTGTTTTTTGACATCTTAAAGTACCACATCAGTGAATTTCCATGTTTTAGGAAATTAACTATATCAACTTGATACCACTCCTGATCAGTTTTTCAAAGTGTGTTTGAATTGATTTCCTGTCTTCTAGGCAGCCGGTCGTTTCCGCTTATTTCCACACGTTTCAATACTCATTTTAACTTGCACAGACTTGAAGCTTTCTTGAGAAAGATAGATAGTCCATTACAATAAACATTTACCACCTTAACCTGTTTTATTCAAGCAGGAGAATCTGTGTTGAAGCCTGTTGTTTGGTTCACAGAAGCTCTGACATTCACATTTTGCTGGCAAAAACATTCACAAGTGGGGAAAGTAAACCAAGAGAAAAAAAAGGAACTAAATGTGATGAAAGGAAAATGTTTTGTCATTTCTGGAAGCTGCCTTTTATACTTTATGATCCAGAACATGCAGAACCACCAGTATGGTCCTTTTAAGCCTGCAATCACAAACTTTTTCTCTCTCTCTTGCAGCGATGGACTCCCTCTCGCAGGAGACCAGTGAACTCGGCGGCCCCGGCAACATGCTGAAGACCCTGGACCCCATCCTCATCACCATCATCGCCATGTCAGCGCTGGGCGTCTTCCTGGGCGCCATCTGCGGCGTTGTCCTGTACTGCGCCTGCTCGCAGGGCAGCATGACGGACAGGAACTTATCCGCCCTGGAAAACTATAACTTTGAGCTGGTGGATGGTGTGAAGCTAAAGAAGGACAAGATGAATGGACAGACTAACTATTCAGAAGCGTGAGGGGCAAAGAGAGACGGAGCTGCGATTGCTCCGCATGGACACGTGATGCAGCCAATCAAGCGGGAGAAACATAGGGCTGAGGCCACCAATGGGACGGCAGGGTGGGCTGATAGTGAGCCAATGTAATTTTTTTTCTCAGGAGCGGCAGTGGAAGGGACTGACCTGTAGGGGGCACTGTGTATAAAGAATCTGTACAGCAAAAAAAAAAGAAGAAAACTAAGGATTCTATTTGTTTTTTGGCGTGCTTTGTTGATTTCATGTAATCACATGCTGGTGTTGAGACCAATTCAGATGAAAGTATCGTTTGTGTACTTTTATGGAAAGATAAGATTTGATTTTTCTTTGTTTTTGTTTTTGTTTTGTTTTTGTTGTCTTTTTTCAAATGTCATAGTTTCACAGAAAGAGCGGAGTATGTGAAAATCACCATTCTGATATCTGGCTCGTTAGCTGGCCATATGTCCCTGTGAGTGAGTGTATGAGTGTGTGTGTGTGTGTGTGTGTGTGTGTGTGTGTGTGTGTGTGTGTGTGTGTGTGTGTCACATTCATATACATCTGCATTTAAGGTGTGTATGTGTCTAGGTGTGTGCGTGTATGTGTGCTCATGTTACCTGTAAACATGAAGTGCAAGCATCTTTCTGTGTGTATGTGTGTGTGTGTGTGTGTGTGTGTGTGTGTGTGTGTTTATGTGTGAAGGCGGGTACCATCGTGACCTGTGTCTAGTTCCGACAGTGCCTTTTTCTTTTCCTCCAACTTTTCTGTTGCCTTGTTTTCTGCTGGTTGTTTTTCTCATCGGCTGGCGTTCCGTCCAGGGTTCCTACACAGACACGTGGACAGATCCGGAAAACTAATTTTATACGACTGCAGTCTTGTAGTGTACTGTCAAATATCACACGTGCTGGTGTAGATCTGAAGATCTTCTTGCCTTGATGACAGTTGTACTTATTAAAATGTTGAAGTCCAAGGGAAGCAGTTAACATTTAGGTTTGGGAAAGCTTTGAGATTTCAGAATGGAGAATGTGTAGGAGCCCTGAATGCCTCATTTTCATGGCACATGACACATCCAACATATTGTACATAGGTTTTAATATATTTGAGCGCCCTTTTCTATAGAAAAAGACACCAGTGCCGCAGTATCCTTTCTATGTTGTTGGAATCAAGCTCGCCCTAAACTCCAAAATTCAGAAAATGTACAGAAACTACTAGTTTTAACAGACAGAGGCACAAATAGTGTTGTTTGTGTTTCCTTTACATGTGTGAGCTGGTCGCCATTTTGTCAGTTTTGTCGTCGCCTGGTTTCTGTTTGTGCTCTGGGAAGAACGATGGAAATGGCTTTGAGATTGTGGAGAAATGCCTCATGGGGAAGCGATGTTTTTGTACAGGGTAAAACAAACCACCTCAGTACCGCTAAGATGACGACAGCACGTCAAGGATGGACCGTCGGGATTGAGATACTTTATATTTCTGCTAACACAATGACTGTGAAACATTAAACCAGAAGTGTGTCCAGCAGTCCATCAGAAAGACTCTGAGTGTCTCTCTCCGGGTCCATCAGCGTCTTTTATTGAGCTGACAGCATGTGCAGGCTCTGAATGTCTTGAGTGATAAAGCAAGAACTAATGTTTGCCATGACAATGCTGTTCTCTCTGTCAGTGTATTTCCTGTGTTGACTATCAAAGGAGAAATATTTGAATGGAGCAAAAAATGACCCCAACAGGTGACTAAATGATCTGATCGAGTAGTCTGGGAATAACACACACAATTAAGTCACATTTTCATACAGAGATGAGTTTTACCAGCTAATCAGAGCAGAGACCCAACAAAATGTCCCATAAACCCATAGGGCTCATTATCTTCTTCTAGTTTATTTTTAAACCTCTGAAAATTGGATTTTAAAATTTCCCCGGACAGCACTCTGTTGTTTTTTGTTTCTTCGCTTTTTTCCGTGGGTTTCTGCAGCAGCTCGATTTGTATTTCATCCCTGTTTTACTCATCACTCTCTCTTTGCAGGAGCATTATCTTAGCTGTCAACATCACAAAAGGCTCATATACCCTGCAATCTACAGTGATCAGTGCCCTCTTATCAACTCTGTCCCACTCTGTGAGGACATTTTTTTTTTTTAAAACCTGGGTATTCTTTAGTGAAAGAATTGACTGAAAACGACAAGCCTTATAAATACTGTACTAATAATACTGCTTTGTTGTGTTTTAGCTTTTGTAGCTAAATGTGTTGTGATACTGGTCACTTGTTCATAGCACTGTATAGATGGGAGGATTGAGTCTCGAAAACCAGAAATGTCACCGATCACTAGCTCACTGGTATCAGTGAATAACCTCCAGCAGATGTTTTATGTTCACTCTGTCATAATTAACAAGTTATTGTATGCTGGGCAAGACAGATACTTAACTTACAAAGATTCAAAAGCCATTGGAAAAAAAAGCAGGTATGATAGTTTGACATATTGCCACTGGCAACTGGAAGAACTACAATGTTTGTTCCAGTGTAATTCCTGTTGCAGTGCACTGTGGAAGTTAAACCTGACCATTTATAATGTAGCATTATGTGACATTGTGTGAGCTCCAAATGTGAAGTGAGACTTTTAGTCAGTAGTCAATATAGGATCAATTGTTTCCTTTTAAGATCAGGCTTTAGAGACATCAAGTTTCCCCGTTTTTGTTGTAAAGGAAATCAACCTCCTCAGCTGGCTCTGTTTAAATCAAATCATTGTTTCAGCAAAGACTGACTGAACATTTCCAATCCAATTAAGGTGCTCTAACTGTTGAGATTATTAGCTTTTGAAAATCACACTGGTGCATCAGTCTCTGTTTTTTTTCTGGAAAATATCAATATGTTTACAGCAAACGAAGCAGACGAGATTATGGGTGTCACAAAATGTAATTTCAATCTGACAGAATGTGCTTCTGATGTTTCAGTCGGACGTCAATCCTTCCCCTTTAAACAAGAAAGGATGCTGCAGCACTAGATGTGAAAACAAATGTTGCACTGATATATTTAAAAAAAAAAATCTGTGTTTATGATGTTGATTTATGAAAAGAGAGAAAGAAGGAAGGAGAAGACAGTGTTATTGTTGCTTCTTTTTAACACGATTTCAGATGACAATGTTATAATTCTGAAAAGTACAACTTACAGAGATGTTTTTCATTCTCGAAAAAAGCTTATATGCGTCTCTTTGAAAACGTAACAATTTTATTTACTTGGTATAATATCACCTTGTGTTTTTGTCACTGATGTACGTGCCATTGTTTTTATTTTTTATTTTTCTTTGTATGACAAGAAAAAAAAGTGTTTTATTTTCAATACTGCTTCTGTAATTTTTGCTGTCTCAGATCCAGAAAAAAAACAAGAGAGGAAATAAGGAAGTAAAAAAATGGAAAAGCAGTGAGGCCTTAAGTGACTAAAAGTATTGTTTGTACTTTGACTTTCTGGTCAGCACCCAGACTCATCCGTCTCTGTTGTCTCAGACTCTGATCATTAACTATTACATTCCAAAGAATTGGATCAAATAAATGTTTTAAGTAAAAGCTGCTTTACTGTTTCTTTCCTATATCAGAAAGAATGGTTTGTTTTAAAGTTTGTCCAAAGTACAACCCTCCACTGGTATCTAGTAACAGATACTTTGGTTTGATTTTTGTTAGATTTCATACAGTTTATTGAAGAAACCCATGTTATTTGACTGACTCTGAGAAATGAGGACATTTAAATATTATAATTTGTAATATAATGTGATTTATCAGTGATGTGTCATCTTCATCGTTTTGGGGTGGAAGTAGATATTTTATCTCAAAACCCTGGGAAAATAAAACCCCAAACTACTGCATAGCACTAAAAAGTACGGGGAAAACATGGTGCTTTGAAATTTAGAAGACTCCATTTCCTTCTGTCTGATCCTTAAAAGATTAAGTTTAAGTACAGACCTTGTAATGAGGCTGTTTGTCAGCTGCTGTTTCCAAGGCCAATTCCACGACAGCTGGGGAAACTTCGATGTGCCGGGGAAGACTGTGACGAAAGCTCCAGAGCAGCTACGAATGGACCTTGTGGTGCCAACTGTGTTTGCAAAAATGTTTGCCACTATTCACAATTCCTCCTCTGGTACCTTTGTGCAATGCATTATGGGTCTATAAAGTATATCAAAAGTAAAGTACACTCAAAAACTCTGCTTATATACTTATTGAGTGTACTTTGAAAGGGTGAGCTCACTACATACTTATACAATTATGAAGTCTGGGACAGGGACACAACTAAGGATAAAGAGGAAAGGTTGAAATCCTCTGACATGAACAAAATCTCAGACTCAGGTCTTAAAGGTGGGTTGACATTCATATCATATTTACTGTCTGCCATATCACGCTTTGACCACAGGATGGCAGAATTGCCTCTTGAAACAATGTAAAACAGCAGCATGAGTCCAAGACACACACTAAATGGATTATTTCTCATAAAACATGTCTGCCTCAGCTCGGAGAATATGTTTTATGAGCTGAACATTCAGCTCAGCTCAACTCAGTCTGATCTCATGTGAACTTCAGTTATGTGGTTTCGTTTAAGGTCAGGTTCCTGCCCAGAAGTTGGTTTCTGTACCGCCTTCCCGTACTCTGCTGGCTTCAGTGTCTGCAGTTGCTTTTATATGCTGTCTCATTTCTGTGTTGCCGTTAGACTGCAGCAATGACTTATCAACCGTCTGTATGCCGTATGTTGCTCAATCTGTGGAGTCAGGTTAAATGTGGTAGTTTATGAAGCAGCACTTGAAGAACAACTCTTATAATTTGTGCTATTAATCATTTAGAGCATTAGATATGTGGCACAAAGTAATGCAAACACAGTGCAATGCCTCAGTTGTAAATGTGCATAAACAAACAACACCATATTTCCTTTCCACAACTCACCTTTGCTGCACAGTGAACATAAGTGCTCAATATTTTGTGGCATTAAGGTTGGATTATCAACTGGGCACTATTCACTGTGTATCTAAAGCAAGTGGTGCCTATAAGGCATGGTCTACTTGTCTTATAGAGCCTCTGTGTTAAAACTTACACAGTACATATTCCTTTAAATACATTTGCATTAAACAAAAGTGAAACAAACAGGTGGTAAATAGAAGGCTGAAGCTCATTTTTGTCCCTTATAGGGTTTATATGGCTATGATGTGCATTAGATACAATCAGAGATACGTTTGTTTATAAAGATGTGGACCTACTACCGACCATAATGTGAAAATAGAAAGTAGAAAGTACACAGCAAACACTGTCCTGTGCTGTGGAATTTCCCTCTGATGTGTCCTTAAAGAAAGCAGTGGTCATCAGAGGCTGTGGTTGTGGTTGTTGAGTTTTTTTCTCTGTTATGAATGTGTGTGAAACGGATAGTCATTAAACTCTCCCTGAACGGATTATCGGAGGTATGCGGCAGGATGATTGTGCGGTGATGTAAAGAAGTTGTAAGGGAGATGGTGAGTGCATGTGTCATCTGGGCATGCATCTGAATCAGCTGCTCCAGTCTTGTCACACATTTTACAGTGATTACAGAGGCTAAATGTGGGAGGTTGACCATCAGCTCTGAGTCCCTTCGCTGCTTTACTCTAAAGAGAAAATAGTCTTTGAGTCAACATATGTGTGTCTAGTTTGGGACAACAGTGATTTTGTTTAATGTATCGATACTGATTATTTCCCATGTATGTTTATGCTTCTGATTTTCCACTCAACTGCATTAAGAGACCATTGAATTACAACATGTCTTTGCTTATCTACTTGTTCAATTTATTTTACCATGTTGAATTTAAAAGGGATATTTTAAGATACTTTAATGTACTGTATAGATTTGATTTTACCTCTGAAATAAAGTAGCTTTAAAGGTTGTTAAATGATCTTACTGCACATTTTCTTACAGTATTATACGGTATATATTGGGTATTCTGTATCAGCTCTATATGACTAAGACTCCATGTATTATATGGCATCAACATCCCATCAAATGGAAATATTCTTGAGGTTTTATAGACTAGATAATAGATTCGGACTGATATATTTGGTATCTTTGCACATTTTTGGATCTCCACTAGAAAGGTCTGCACAGACAGACCCAACTGTGAGTCAGTGGGGTTAAAGGTTAGGCCTGTACCATGTTAATAGGCACCAGATGTAGTTGATAACACGTATTATGTCTGCTCTGGTCCTCCATGACAGAACTTGATCACACAAGCAGGTGATTATAGCAACTATTTCAAAACCAGAAGAAAAAAAAGGTCTCATGGGTGCTTAGTACAGGAAAAGGCAATAAAAAAAAAAATTTGTATCAGAGACAGCTTTCTCTGTTTGCACAGGAAGTGAAGGTGGTGGGTTGCTGAAACACATGTCAAACATGTGGTTCACCTGAAACAATTGGTAGTGTACTGTTAAAGGTGTTACTTTTTTTCTGGGTTGGGTTTCCTTCAAACATGCTGCGCTTGCAGTGAGAAGCGAGGTTCTTCCTGCCTCTGCTGGGCCCTGTAAAGCTTTCAGTGTGTATGAGGATCTATTAGCAGAAATACACATTAGTGTTGCGAGCACCTGAAAAATAAGAATAGTTGTTTTTTGTTACCCAAGAATGAGCTGATTTTCTCTCGGGAGCGGGTCCTCTCCTCCCCAGAATGGACAAAACTCAAACACTGGCTCTAGATTAGACCACTGCAGCTTCTCCTGCAAGCTTGAAAGGGTGAGCTGTATTTAAATGGTTGCAACTAAACCACACGATGTCACTAAATCTCACACACTTGTCCTTTCACCAACCTGTCAACCTGCAATGTGCAAAAAACACTGAATACAATAGCCTCAAATTTAGGCTGCTGCATGGTCACATGAGTAAACATAGATTTAGCAATATACAACATATAAGGAGGCCCCCATTTGAGGTTAGAAAGGAGGAACCACAGTAAGGCCCTTATCATTTCATCTGATGTTGTGTTTTAGTGTATGTTCACAAACAAACCTTAAGTAACTTTAAATCCTTAAAAAAAAATACTTTCCCCCACATGTAAATGCATCCCTTTTTTAAATTTCTTTCTTGTTTTTTTTTTGCTTAAATCCTCTAAGTTGTTTAGGTTTTTTCAACAAGCATCTTTTTTTTGTTGAGCAGACTTGTCAATAAAATGCCAATTATATTGACATATAAATGGCATTAACGTTAATAAACAAAAACATAAAAATAACGGGATAACAAATAAGCATATTAACATAAAACAAAAATAAATAAATACAATAATATTTTTTCTGGTAGTAAAACAAAATTAACTGACCCCCTCCTTTTCAGTTATGTTTATTGTTTATTTTGTGTGTGTGTGTGTGTGTGTGTGTGTGTGTGTGTGTTCGGTTCACCACATCCGAGGTGAGCACAGGTTCAAAGGTTCCCGGTGTGTTTGTTCCGCTCCCCTGTACGTGCCGCGGCTCTTCCTGTGTAGGCGGGGACTAAATAAGAAGAAGAGGTTTGTTGAGCTGGTACATTACGACAAAAAAAAAAAAAAAAAAACTCGACCCAGCAGCAGCAGCAGCGAGCCGGGGACTCCTCGCCCTTTTTTTTTTTAATGCCATTTTTTAAAAATATATATGAACACATATTGTAGTTAATTTGTCAGGAACGTAACCGTTGACGTCCTGCGGTTGGAGACGTTACGTACCGGGCACGTTCGGAACGTTGCGGTTTATTAGCTAAAACAAAGCGGACCCTCTTCAACAGTTCGGGGCTTGTGCTCGCCGCAGCAACCGTTGTTTTTTTTTTTACCTCCCAATTTCTATTAAAGAAAAAAGGACACTTTTAGGGGGTAAATGTCAGTGTAACTCAGCTGAAAACGCCAGTACAGCATTAATAGAAGGTAAGTGTTGTTATTTTAACTTAACATTTAACGGGTCTGCCGTGTTTAAAGGCGACTGAAAACACACTGTAACCGACAAAAGGGGGGGAGAAGCAAGGAATGCCTGTCTTCAGGGGCGAACTTTATGGGTGTGGATTGGATGGGGTTTTTTTTGTTTTTTAATGCTATTAATGTCCTTTTAAATAATATAATTTTTCAACAACGTGATGTGTGAAATGTTGGCACTTTTCTTCAACCCTAACTCTACCTCATGTGTGTTTAAGTTGGGGCTTTGTAGGAGAAAGTAGGCCACTGAGCCGCTTTGTATGACCGAAGAGGGGCAGTGTGGGTGGTTGAAGCTGAGGAAGATGGTGATATATTAACTTATTAGCACCATTATTTAAAACCATGGCAGCTGTTATAGAGTCAAAACTGCTTTTACAGATCTTACTTGGTGTTTTAAAACTTACAAATAATATGTAACATGTCTAAAATCATGTATATATATGTGTGTATTTTCTGCTTTGTACTGTTTGGTTTCTTTAGCATTGTTATCATATTGAAATTATAATTGCCTAAAGGAGAAATGTTTTGTGGTTTAGCTTTCTCTTAAAGGAATAGATAGGGGGAGAGTCGCACCATTTAGGAGAAAATTAACACTTTGTTTGTGAAGTCTTCTGACAAAACCATCAATCTGGATTTTTTTTAAAGCATTTTTTTATTAATCCTTTCCCTGGAAAGTGAAGATTGGATATCAAAAGCCACCTGGTTTTCTTTAGCAGTGCTGTTAAAGCACTTGGGTCCATTTGTCAGATGTCTTTTAAACATTTGTGTACACATACATACGAAGGGACCATTTGCTTCAGACGTTTTACACCTTTTGGGGGTCAAACATACATAAAGTAGAAAACCAAACAACATCCCATGTTGTAATCCATAGTGATAGTGATAGCCGTAGTCTGGTCAAACTGCATTATATAGACTGTATAAACTGTGGTTGGAGATGCTGTTAGACTAAAGGTGTCTTACAGCGGGGCTTAAGTGGTTAGCCAGAACCTAGAGTCTCTTGTTGGGCCTTGCCCCGAAGCTCTGATTCGGGATCTGTTGACTGTGCAGTATGTAGACAAGCTCGGTCTTGCCTACCCGATTCACTTCCTGTGAAGGAATTGTACCCTGAGGGGGCGTTTTTTTTTCGCCATGCCTTTCTTTCTCCCTTTTTAATCTCGAGGAGGAGCTTGTTGAACTAGTAATCTGCGCTCACCCAGTTCTTGCTGCAAGGCCTAATTTAGAGAGGATGGGGAATAAAATGTTTGGGTTAATTACTAGCCTGTCCTCGGCTTATAGACAACCACCATAATGACATAGCAACAGCACCGTATCGAGGTGCGAATACAACATATGTCTTTTGATCCTGTTCAGGGTGTACACATCACATGGATGCAGATAATATACACCAGGCCCTGGTAATTGTAGACATGAAGGTGGGGGGGGTGTCTGTAGACTGGAGCTGGCTCCCTGCAGATCACTGAGTCACTTCCCTTAGTTACATTGTTGTGATGTTTAAACACAGTGAGCAGCGCCTGGCTCACAGCTAGGAGTGTCCGGGGCAGTTTGGAGGGGTCATTGAGCGTTACTCAACGCCGTGCCTTTACCCCGACTTGTCTCATATGAGTCATGGATGATGACGGGCTTCCCGGTGGTGACCAAACAAAGTAAATATATATATGATCATGGTTAAAATATCATCCCTTCATGGCTCCATCTCTCTGAGCGTCAAACCTTGTGGAAACCTCTGTTGGAAAGTGGACATTATTAGAAGTACAGAATTCCCTGAAGAGCACAAAACTTTCTACAAAAAGTTTTTTAAAAAAAAACTACAAATGAAGGATCAATTTGTGTAATTTGGGTGTAAAATTGGAGTTTCTGAAAGTGGATTGTCAGCATCTATTAATCGTTTAAGTCATTTAACAAGACATCTGTCTATTTGTTTGTCTATGAGTGTAAACTGAATATCTTTGACGTTTCCTTTCTCACACAATGGAAACAAGATATCTAATTTAAAAAAAAGGCCTTTTCAAATACTTTATAAGGTGTTGGAAATGGAAATCCAGCCTCAGTAAGTTCTTAACACACAGGCTATTTAAACCTTGACAGCTGGGTTTTTTTTTTTCCCAGAGCCAAAATTGACATTACACTCACTCTACATCAAACTGACCGAGTGAACTCCGGGTTCAGGTTGGAAAGAAGTGGAAAAAAAGCACCCCATATTTCAGCTACGTCGTTTTTCCACGACACAGTACGGAGCTAGTGCAGAAGGAATGCGTTATCTCATCTCTCTGGGGAAGGGCTCGGAGATCAGGATCTCCCCCATATGACAGACAAACCCCCTAAACAGGTCTCGCAGGTCACTCAGCGAATTTAACTCTTTCCAGAACCAGTCTGCTATATCTGCCGAGTACGTAACGCCAATGATAAAGTGATCGGATTACATTACGATCACATCTTGATTTGCTCTTACTTATCAATCTTATTTGTTTTCCAAAGGAAGATTAGGCTAACTCTTTTCACTTGTGTTGGTTTGTTGATGATTAATCCACAATTGATTAGTCAGCTTAAGGGATGGATGGAGGATGCTTCCCGTAAAGTTTTCCAATAAGTCAAACATCTGCATGATTGTAGGAAAAGGACATTTCTATTAATTCTTTCAACTATTTTTATAGTCAGCTGGATGTCAGATGGTCTTTTTCTGTTGCCTCGCTTTGTTTTCCTCTTTAAAAAAAAAAAAGAAACGGACGTCACCTGTTGATGCTCATCCAGTCTGACAGCACTTTTAAGTTCAGTATCAAGCGTTATTGCAGATGTTAGCTCGATAGCACAGGCCGGGTTTGCAGTCAGAACGCGAGGTGTTCTTCCTGATCTTTCAACAGCCTGTTACAGAGAAAAGTGGTGTCTGGGTGGGGTTTAATTAAGGAAATGGCTGCAGAGTCACGCTGAGTTGTTTGGGGACTTAATGGACTGAGAGTGGACTGTGACTTTCAACAGCAGGTGGGGGCCGGATGGCTGACTGAGTGGCAAACAGAGCTGGGTGTGGTGGTGGTGGTGGGGGGGGGGGATGGGCACACAACTCATTTTTGTGGACTAGCAGATGAACCCACCCAGTGTGAACAATGCTGACCTGTGTTGAAAGCCACCTTTCACTTTTCTTGTTTCTCACAGAAGATCTTGGCACAAATAGTGCAGCATTCATCATTTTATTACACCAGGATGCATTATGGGACACACAGAGTAGTGTTTGGCTCACGTTGCTGTCAGATCCTTAACACTAGAGATATGCATTGCATAGTTTAGACAGTAACAAAGTGCATATCAATAGCGTTATTTCATAAAATCCAAAATCGTGAGATTGGTGTTTAAATGCAAGTTGAAACAGAAGCATCAGGTGGTCACACATTAGGCACAATCAGCCCGTAATCAGCCCCGAAGCAGTTAAATTATCGGCTGTCCGGGTCTTTTAATTGCTAGAAATCCAGTAATAAGGATTTCTTGATGATTAGAAGTTGCATAATTGAGTGCTAAATATACATTTACCTGACTGCATCAAAGAGTAATCTGGGAAGTTGTCTTTGGAAACTGTTTGCAAAAAGTGCAGAAAAAAATCAAACCATATAACGTAGTCCAACTCTTAGCGAAGCCAGTCGGTAGAAGACTTCAGTGCCGTTTGTTGCTCTTCTTTCAATAAAGAAATACTCTCCAGTTCTGATATTTAGTAGTTATCTATGCTGCCAGTACTTCCTCAAAGGACGCGGCTCCGGTACCATGTAGTTTGGCAATTAAGCAATCTGAAGACCAAATATTTTCAGACCAAACAATCAAATGACAATAAAAAGTAAAAGTTAGTTGCAGCCGTAGTTCCAGTCTCTGCGTAGTTCAGTTCGGGCGACAGTTAGCAACACAGTTTGAGATAAAAAAGCTAAAATACAGAAACCATGTAGCAATAACAAGGACAAACAAAGCCCACTGTACCGTAGAGGAAACACTCTATAGTGTAAATAATAGTAATGAATGCAATTTGTGGTCGTCTGGTCTGGGTTAGTGTTGTAATGATACAAAGTATTTAAGCAACAACGTGTTCACATTGTCGTATGTGGGAGTTGGAGCAATGTGCACTTCTCTTTTCTCGAGGAAAAACATTGAGTCACCCATCGGGGTTAGCAATGCACCGTGTGGTTAACCTCTAATCGCGAACAACGAGGAACCGCTGAGAAACTAGTTGTGGTAGCTCTTGCAATTACTTCCAGTTTGATGCATGCACAAAGGGGCACTTGCTCTAGTCGATGGGCATAAAGGGACGCTGCAGAAATGTTATGTTTTAGTGATTTTATTGTTTTATAATTAGTATATTTTATGTTTTATGTTATCTTAAATCTCATGCAGAAACCACAGAAGTATCACCTGGTGCAACATAGATGCCATATAAGGAACATTACAGGGCCTATTTGTTGAACTGTGGTCGTCCACAAGTCTAAACATGGACTTTGTTAAATATTACTAAGCATTCACAGATGTTGCCTCGCTCCACCTTTTAGACGACACCAGAACGTGTCTGTTCAGAGCCAGTATGAGCTGCAGCAACAAGTCACAGACGGGGGTCAGGAAGGCAGATAATCTACAGAGTTTAAAAACAGATTTCACTCTCAATCAGATAATACAACTCTTTCACTTGTATGGCACCCACGTAGACCCACAGACCACCAGTTCATGAGGTTTGTTTTTCACCTTGAGGATAATTCTGTGTCTGTACTAAATGTAAACGCATAAAAAGCTGCTAATGGAGCTTCATAGTGTAGTATTCAGCAGGAAGTGTGTTTCCTTAGTTATCAACAGTCAATAAGTCACTGTGGCACTGTCAGTGAACGGAGGAAGGCGTAAACAAAGAAGTAGTGGTGACACACGTCTGTACAGTCTGAGTCAAAGCCCTCATGTTAAACTCCTGCTTTTAAATGTGACTGAAGCCAACGTAGCTTTATGAAGTATACTGGGATTTCCCGCAGGCAGTGTGATAGCTGACCAATAGAAAACTCTGTCTGATCACAGTTATTGATGCAGACGCCCTTATTGAGTGCATTGACTTCAGCCTGGTGTCTGACTTGTGGTGAGTTTGTTTCCTCACACATCCCCTCGTGATTGGGACTGATTGATCTGTTTTTACAGATCACTGAACATTAGAACATCTGCATGGTTTGTGTTTCTGGCTAAAATATTACCCTGTCTCACTCTTCCTCATTCATCCTCTCCGCGCTGCCTCCCCTTCATTAAAGGAATGTCAAGTAGGCGGAGATGTCACACAGGGAGTCGATTATTTGCTACACAACTCTCTGCGTGTGAATTTACATCACCGAGGGAGGCTCTGGTCCCTGAGGCGTACTTTCAGTCTGCAGATTGAATCAAAACGCTCTCTGACCTGTCCGAGGCCGACGGCAGACAGTGGACCGTAAACAGGGAGCGCCGCGAAGGATTGGGTTTCACTCCGCTCTCTCCACAGCAGCTGTTGGAAGAAATTCTCGATATAAACCATTTGTCTGGGTCTGTTTCAACACTACAACACACGTTGAAAGCTTTGGCTGTTGTATTAGTTCATAGCAGGCAGGTAGTGTTTACACATTCAAACTATTCAGCAGAGGACCTTTTGAAAATGGTTATAAAGAAGAGAAGATGCTGGAGGAGTTTCTCTGTGCCGCTGTGGCAGGTTTGTTTGTCGACCAGTAACTGTACATAACACCAGAGTTATAGGAACATCTACAGGTTCTGAGTCACTGGGACAAGCGTGGTCTCCTTAAGTCGATTATTTGGAACAATCTGTGCAAGCCGAGCTGACTGTGGTTTTTTTTTTTTATTTTTTTCTGACGCCATTTCCTGGCTGTATGACAGGAAGATGACATTCCCATTCTCAGACTGCAAAAGCTCCGTCTGGCATTGTTGTTCTATCCTGACCGGGTGTGGGGAAACGGCCATCCCCGAGCACAACAGCAGACCCATTTCAGCTGCTGATTGAGAGGTCTGGAAGGTCACTGTTACACCCAGCAAATGTAATCAAACCTATATCATTTCAATAAATGGATAAATTAGGAAGTGATCTTGTAGGTTGAGCCGGTTGACGAAGAGATTCTGAACACGAACGACTGTAAGCTGCTAATTAACTAACCATCATCAATTAATGTAAGTCAAATAGTGATAATAGTGCCATAGTTGGTTCACCCGTCCAAAAATATTCAGTTTATTATCATATTTGACAAAGAAAAACAGCAAATCCTCATATTTACAAAGCTGGAACGAGAATAACTGAAGAATAACTGAAACACAGAGTCCATTAGCAAAATGGTTCAACTCATCAATGAATCCACTCAACCCGCTGTTCCACATGAACGTCTGTGATAAGTTGGTTGCTGAGTTTGGTTTGCGATGCAGTTTTCTTACAGCCGACAGTATGGATATAAGTGATATTTGCCGACTGCAGCCTTAAAACCTGTTGCATCTACAGACAGTTCAGAGGAGTGTGTGAGCTCTTACACTCTGCTTTACAGTCCCTCACATCCACACATGATCCCAAAACCACCGTCTCTGTTACTGTACAGACATTTTTCGAACCGTAAATGAAAAATGGTGACGCTAACATTCGGCCTCACAAACACAAAGCGTGTGCCGTCTCTTGTCTTCTCCAGCTTCTGACCATACAAAGTCATGATTCAACACAGTGTGCTCCTGTTACTCTAAATATTGAGCTCTCAGGTCTGTCATCACAAGTACTCACGGGGCCATAGTTTCTGCTTGACGAGGAGTGAGAGGAAAAAAAAGAGGATGAGAAAAAGAAAAGAAAGCAAGACCTTGTGTGAGTTTTTAAATGTGATCGCCTACTTCATCTGCCACTTGCAGTCTCAGTGTGACTTGAGAGTTTATGTTTCCCAAGACTGATTCACAATATCTTCTCTCTATCAGTGTCCATCTATCACTCTGACTGCTAGCAAGGAAGTGACATGGCCTCATATGTGTAGAAACTCATTTTCTCAACTGATATGTGAGACAGATAAAGTGCAAGTGTCTTAAACTCTTCATAGTTTTGGATTAATAACATTAGACAACTGGTGGCTGTAACAGGAGTTAGTTATTAGGATAAATTCTAAAATCTGTCAGTAAAGACACTAAGTGACTAAGACCCTTTTTTGACCCATGTCCCTGTGCTGAAGTCACCACGTACTACTTGGCTTTCTTTTATCATGTTTCGCAGTTATGAGGAGCAGTGTTACAGTCTGTTACTGATTAGGTCACATCAGACTGTGTCTGCCTGAAGTTGCTATCAGCTCTTTATCAGCTGTGACGCTGGGTAGAAGGAAGCATTGACTTTTATGTACCTGCCATTTTTATTGTACCACTCCTCCTCCAACGGTCAAACAATAATTCAGGTGTCACTGTTGAGTTGCTCTCTGTGCTTCTAAGCTGAAAAGGTAGTGAGAGTCTTCATTAAAACCATTATGTCTTCTGTATGTACCTGAGAACACTGGCAATAATAAAGGATGAACAGAGGATGTAAATAAAGATTCCTCTGGGAGGCGTCCTTAATATTTCATTCAGAGTTTATGTTGAAGAAAACCGGTTATCATGTCCCAAGATCTTTACCAGAGATCCCAGTGTGCCTCCCTACTTCCATTATGTGGCACAAAGGCATTGGAGACCCCGAATGCCTCCCAGTCTGTCAGCTCTGTGCAATCTGCAGCCCTGTGCAGGCAGAAGCCCTGGAGCAGTAAACAAAGCTGGCCTTCAGGAATGTTTGGGGAGGAGCCCTAATGGTGGAGAGTCTTTGCAGTTGGTGTTAAATGTTATTAAGCATCTAGCTGGGTATGTTGTTTGCCACAAAGTTGTTCTTTGTGTCCGATTTTTTTTTTTAGTCAGTAATTACATTTAAAAGGGGGCAGTGCCTATTGTACAGAAAGAAATCCAACAGAAAATAATTCCCATCTGTTGGACCTGGCCAGATGTTAAAAGCTGCCCTAAAAATTCTGGGTTCTGCTGTTTGCCCCACCAACACTGTCCAAATCTTCCAGTGTGACATTTTCTCTATCGGACGTGTCTTTCTTCCTCCGTTTCCCAGTAGCAGTATGATAACTATCACTAAAGCTCTCATGGGAAACTCACACATAAGTTGGTCATTAGGCCACCTTTCACAGGATGTGGTTGTTTTTGCAGTAGCCTGTACCCGGTGCACTTTTCACAGAGCATCTAATGAAGGCTGTACACAGACACAGTTTTACCTCCACTTCACACTTTGTTAATATCCATTTTTTGTGTCGTTTAAATATAAGTGGTACTTTAATCCATTGGTATTTGTTTAATCTGCAAATTATCTTAATAAGATCCAACAGTGGTAGACTATTTTAAGACACAGCTGTTGACTTTAGCTACTGTCAACACTGCCCTGATGTCCTATGTATAACTTAGTGCTGGGCCATGACACATAAAAGTTACTCTGAGTTTCTGAGTTTGAGGATTTGGGCAGACAGTCAAGGAAGTGTGTCACTGGCATTGTGTGGGGAATGGCAGGGATTCAGGAGGAGGCAGCCTGACCAAATATGGGAACATACACACACACTTACATGTGAACACACCTACTTCTTCTTTCTCAGTTTTCTGCTTTCGAGTTGTGGCTTTTGCTCAGTTAAAAAAAAAAGTGGACCCACCACAAGACTATTTTCAAGTTGCTGATGAACTGAGAATCGCCACCTACTTATAAGATGTAATCTTTCTGTCGTTCTGTTTTTAGTGTTCTCTGTCTTATCTGAAATTCCCTATCAAGATAACCAGCTACCTGTACGTAGGCCTGTAACAGCATGAAAGTCTCCAAACTTGCAGTCAAGAAGCAAGTATGTACTGCAGCGGTTTGTAGCAGCTGATGCCTGCTGAGCGAGGGCAAATCACTCCTCCATGTATGGAACAGGCCAAATGTGAATCACTCCACCCCTCCGCTGCCTAACGGCAACGGAGGTATTTCACCTCCACATCAGGATAGAGCCTTAACAACAGCTTTATTCACCCTGGTGGATGAAGGGTGAATTGCCGTGTTAATGGGGCACTTGGTAGGGTAATAAGCTTCTTTAAATGTTGACCAACTTTAATGTAGGTTATCATAAAGTGTCCCATTGTGCAGCCGTGTCACATCATCAAGGTTCAGCTCAGACTCGTCCGGTGTCGTCTACATCCCGTGCCTGTTTGTGATGCTTTCTATCATTCCTCTGTAAAGGTTAACAAGAACGTCTCACATACGAATGACTTTGAATCTTTGAAGCCACATTAAACCTCCAATAAAATACATGCGACTGTTGATTCTGTTTTGATTCTTTAAGGATGAAGTGTCCCCCCCCCCCGGTTTCAGCTTCCAACATTGAGGTTTGTTTTATTTTTCTTGTTACAGATGGATCTGCGGTTACTTTTAATAGCTACCTTATCAGCAGTCCTTGGTGGCGGCTGGGCACAGCAAGGTAAGAACAAAGATATGTCATTAATTTGTTCACATTTTGCTCTGTTTTTCTTATCTTAACTGTTAAATGTTAGTTAGCACAAAGCGTGACGTGTTTTTCAGCCCTGTTAACAGACCCTGCAGTTCAATACAGACACCTTTAGTATTCTTTGTGTATGTTGATTATCATGGTTTGACTTATCCGTTGTTGCTCTGTGCACTGGGCTAAATGTTGGCCCCTTTTTTTGTTGTAGACTTTTCTTAAACACAATGAAATACAGCAGTGCTCTATTTCTTCATTCATGGTTTAATGACCTTGTGGCAAGTGGTGGGAGGCTTTTTTAAAAAAAAATTTATAAGGTGAAGTCATCACTTGGTGGGCTGCCTAGAGCTTTTTCACAGCATGACTCAGTTTTCTGAACTGGGAAGAGATTGTGATTTACAGCCAAGAACCGAAGCTGGTTTGAGTTAGTGAACTAATGGAAATTCTGTTTTGTGATCTCGGCTAAAAGGAACTTGTTGTCTCTTTTCAGAGGGAAGCATATGCATCAAGGCAAACGCACAGTCGTGTGGGGAATGCATCCAGGTCGCCGAGACGTGTGGATGGTGCTCTGACGAAGTGAGTTGAATCACTAAAAGCTGCCGCCAAAGTATTTTATCATAAGAATGAAAATATATCCAGGGAATCTTAAATTGTGGGTGTGGCACATTCAGAGTCTCCTCTGCGGGTTGTGTGGCAGCGTTGATTTAATGGTTGAATTGCACATAAACAGCTAACAAACACAGCTGGTAGTCGTCATCTGAATGGAATAATGCAATATCTAATAAATGAAAAACAATACATTTAGAAAAGACATTTCAACCTTTGTCAGAAAGTGTGCGGGCAACAGGAGTTGTAGTTAGATCTGCTTACAAACAAACAAATACAGTCCAACGATCATTTGATTTAGGTAACAAAATATCTGACAGTGTTACTGATGATTTTGTTTAATTCATAGCAATCATTTTGAAAAAGAGAGTTCTAAAAGTAAGTAAATATTTTTTCTTATGTTCTCACATTCATTTTGGCATTGCAGTCTATAGACATACATTCACATAAACTGTGCTTACCTTGTAAGTGCATTTACAAACAAATGCACATAAGTACTAGACAGTTAAGAGATTCAGGAGACTTGCTCTTTCCTGCCTTTTCGACCAAAGGCAAGTAAACTACAACTACTACATTAATTGTAAACAGGAGAGCTGCTGCTCCTTGTCTCACAGTGGAAACTCTGGCTGAATAATCCCATTTAATTAGATGTTTTCTGTACCCAAGGCAAGTATTCTTACTGTGGCAGCATTATGCCACTGAGCAGAACAAACCACAGTGCGGGAAAATACAGATTTACAGGAGCGTGAGGTTAATATGAAATGTTTGCTCACTCCTTCACAGCTAGTACGAGTTTATTTTTCAGTGTGGAAGCTACAAATTATAGTCAAACAAATGGAAAATGTTATTGAATTGTAGATCATGCTGTGCAAGAAGTATTTGGGAGCATTTTTATTCCTACATAAAGAAAAATGTGTTCTGGTGAAGAGCATGTTACACCTCTTCTTCAATTTCACTCTGCAATACTTGGATCTCAGGAACATGGGGTTAATGTGAATCAGTTGAACTGGGCTATAAATCTTTGTCTTATATACTGTGATATGAGATTATAAGACTATTATAATCAATGCAAACACCCGAGAAGCCAAAAAGTCACCCAGAAACAAGGCTTTGTAATCCACCGGTATACTGAGACATAGCCTGAGGTCTGAGGGGCTCACATGGTGCCAAGCAACAGCAATCCCTGAACATTTTCTGGTCTAACAAGCTGTCTAACAGTTTGGTGTCACACATTCCCGAGGTGTATGATAAATGAAATGTGCAGTGAATGTCTCAACTTTTGTTGTTTCCACATCCCCATTACTAATTATTTATAATCTTGAAATGTTGTGTTTATCTGAAACCATCAGTAGTCATCCCCAAATATCATCTCACTGCATTGATGCAGAACTTAAACCATTAACTTAATTGTCCAAAATCCAGCCTGTGAGTCAGCTCTTACTCTGAAACTGTTCAGAAGGATGACTCTCTTGGTGAATAATACAAAAACTTCTCTCAGGGTTTTTTTTTTGTTTTGTTTTTTGTCATTTTGGCATGTGTCTAGACACTGCTGCATTCCTGTTAAATCTCAACTGTACTTCTCTAGCGCACAGTTGACTGATAACCACTCCTTAGCTTATGAAATCCCAACATGACTGTACTTAATAACATGTTAAAACAGATTTTTACTTGTACCCATAAAACCATTTGACGTTCAAAATCAACCCAAAATCATATAAGAATCACATCAGTAAAGAACAACTCTCCATGATAACGTATTTGTCGTGCTTCCAATCTGATGTCACTGCATGAACTGATAACTGTGAATGGTGTGTATGCTGCCCACTGCTGACAGCATTATGTACAGTGATTGAGATTGCTTTAACTGATCCTTTCTCTCTGTATATCACCACCATTTCCTGTGTTCACCGTGTGAAGTCTTCAGAACAATCGGTGGCTTGTTATTTCTGTGGTTTTCAGTCTTTCAAGTAAATCTTACCTGATATTTATGGCAAAAAGCAGTGGAATAAAAAAGGCCACAGCGGGTCATGTGGTTTTGAAAGAATTGGGTCAAAGCACTATTTTTGTTTTGACTGAGTTCATTGTCTCAAGTTCTCCTCCACTATGCCTTGTGGGATATCATGTGCATCCAATCTATATTCATTGCCAGGCTTCCCAGTCATCTGTTCCTTATTGTCTCCTGTTGCCTGAGAACAACGGCCTAAAAAACAGACAGTTAAACTACAAGTGATCGATTCCAGAGGCCTCATCGGTTAGAAACTGTCATTCATTTGTCTGCAGCAGATATTCTTGAGTTTAGTTGTTGAAATAACAGAAAACAGAACAATCTTCTGGCATCAGTATCATTTTTATTTCCAAAATCTGTGTACGTAAGTGTACAGGCCTGTGTATATTATAAAGAGACATATTGAGATTGTATTACGTACTGTGGTACTGTGCTAGTCGGCAGCATGCTTTTTCATACCAGTCACACACCTTCCTTTTAGTGACCTTGTACTTAAATGAACATCTTTGTTATCTGTTAGTGTCCAAGGAACAAGTCAGGTATTATTATTAACAATTAATCCTCTTGTGCTTTTTTTTGCAGACCTTCCTCACTGTGGGTGAGTCCAAGTCGGCTCGCTGTGATGATCTGGAGTCCCTGAAGAAGAGAAATTGCGACGTGGCCAAAATTGAAAACCCACGCGGAAGCATCAGCATCGATGAGAACAAGCCCGTCACCAATCGCAAGAAGGATGTGGCTGAGAAACTGAAGCCTGAGCAGATCACCCAGATCCAGCCCCAGAAACTCACCCTGACCCTTAGATCTGGTATATATTCAACTTTTGTAGCCAAATCTGTGAATGTTTTGCCAGTGCTGGGAAGAAATTAGTTTGAAACTGTTATAAGAGTGTATATTTTGCTGGCCTACGGTGTCAGGGCAAAGTAATTGAGTCAGCCAGCTCTGAAGCAAAATTAGAAGCCGTTATTTCTGTGTGAATTATGTTTTGGAAAAGACTAGATAAACACAGTCTCTCTAGTATATAACAGTGGGGGGATCTCTTCCTTCCTCTTTCTTAAAATCTCCCTTTTAAATTTCCTTCATGTATGGAGGTCGAAATGTAATGTTTTTGCTTTTGTCACAATCTCTTGAGTTCCACTAAAAATTGTCTTTTTTTTCCCCCCCTTAAGGTGAGCCCCAGACTTTTGAGCTGAAATTCAAGCGCGCTGAGGACTACCCCATCGACCTGTATTACCTTATGGACCTCTCCTTCTCCATGAAAGATGATTTGGAAAACGTCAAGAACCTTGGCACTGACCTCATGAGGGAAATGCAGGAGATTACCTCGGATTTCCAGATTGGTAAGTAAACCTCCCAACAAAGAAAAAGAAAAAAAAAAAGCTTAATGATCACAAAAGGCTGTTATGTTAGAAATATTTCGCAGTTCTGAGCAAAAATGCTTTTCTCTCTGTTAGGTTTCGGCTCAATTGTGGAGAAGACGGTCATGCCTTACATCAGCACCACGCCAGCCAGGTTCATCAACCCCTGCACTGGGAACCAGAACTGTACCAGGCCCTTCAGCTATAAGAACGTCCTGAAGCTGACGGACAAAGGAGACGAGTTCAATCGGTTGGTCAGTGAGCAGCAGATCTCCGAAAACCTGGACTCTTCGGAGGGGGGCTTCGATGCCATCATGCAGGTGGCGGTCTGTGAGGTAAAAAGGGGCCAGAGACTTCTCTCTGTGGGCCTTTTTAGTGGTTGCTTGTTCCAGATTATGATTACTCGTCAACGAGCTGAATGTTTTGAGTCACTTTTTAAGAGGTAAAAATGTCTAAATTCTCTGATTTCAGCTTCTCAAATGTTTTCTGTCTTTAGTCCTCTATGACCGTAACCTGAATATCTTTGGGTTGTGGACAAAACAAAGGACATTTGAGGAAGTCAGCCTGGGCTTTGGGAAACAGTGATCAACATTTTTCACCATTTTATGGACCAGCTGACTAATGGATAATGAAAATAATTGTCAGTTATCAGTGCTAGCTTGTATCGAGGCAAGCTTGTCTTGTAAATCTGTGAAATATTAATGAGAAAGCTCTCTTTGTCTTCCCAGGAACAAATCGGCTGGAGGAACGTGACCCGCCTGCTGGTGTTTTCCACCGACGCTGGTTTCCACTTCGCTGGAGATGGCAAACTGGGCGGCATTGTCCTGCCCAACGATGGGAGGTGTCATCTGGAGAACAACACGTACACCATGAGCCACTACTATGTATGTAGTTCATCATTTATTTAATGTGCATGTTGTATTGCCAGCTACATTCTGCTTTTATTAATCTGTGTGTGTGTGTGTGTGTGTGTGTGTGTGTGTGTGTGTGTGTGTTTGTTGCATATTTGAATAGGACTACCCCTCCATCGCCCATTTGGTTCAGAAACTGAGTGACCACAACATCCAGACCATCTTTGCCGTCACTGAGGAATTTCAGCCTGTTTACAAGGTGAACATTGTGCTTCTAAAATGTAACCCTCATGGAAATATTGACTGTTTAATTCACACCATTTAAATCAAAAGATAAACATTTGTTCACTCCGTTCTTACCTTCAACCCTTCTGTCTCTTTCAGGAGTTGAAAAATCTCATCCCAAAATCAGCTGTTGGCACGCTGTCCTCCAACTCCAGCAACGTGATCAAACTTATTATTGATGCTTACAACGTGAGTCAAACTGCACTTTACTGCACTACAATTTAAATAATCTATGTCCTACATATTATGGGTGCTATCCTACAGTTTCCCAAAGAACCTTCTCACAAAATGATCGACACCATCAGGTCTTCCAATCCAGAATTTAGCTTTTTTACTTTTACTTTTAACAACCGATAAGGGAATTCACTACTCCTCTATTTGGAGTATTATACTCTCAACGCTTTACATCTGTCCAAATCTAAACTAGCTAAGATATACCCACAAATTAACCCACAAATTAACACTGAATGTGATGGATGCAAGTCTGCGGATGCCACATTAACTGACAGCATATATATATTCATATTCAGAGGCTGTTTTCACAGCGCTCGCTCTCTCTCTCTCTCTCTCTCTGCAATCAGTTAAAATTTATCCAAACCTTGTTTGGAATTATTCCGGAAGGGGTGCAGTTACATGCAACTATATGGCCATAAAGTCATTGCCTTTACTACTCTCCTGGCATGCTGCCTGATGCTTTTGTGGTGGAAGGAGACTGCCCAACCCTCTTCCCTGTCTGAAGTGCAGAGATCTTTTTTTTTTATGTTCTTTCACAACCCCCCTTACACAAGTACAGAAATAAGTAATGAAATTATCATGTTTGACACACATTTTGACATTTTTAGCCGGGACGCTGCTTCTGCTTGATGTCTCATTATAACTCAAATGCTTCATTTCTCAATTTCCCATCACTAAGTGCCTTGTATTAACTATGCTCTTTCGTTGTGTACACTCTGATATCCATCGTAGGAGATGTTTGTTGTGGGGTGGGAATGGTGTTCTTTTTACAGTTTATGTAATTTGTGAAAGAGAGACAAATAATCCTCAAAATCCCTGTGACTTTGTCTCGCTGGTGTTAAATATTAAGCACACATTCAGGTTATATGAATGTTGTGCCACTCCTTGACATACATATTAATGAGACCAGGCACTGTGAAATGGTCTGCCCTGCAGCAGCTGGGTTTCCACATGGGCTTGTATGCACAGGGTGATTGATGAACATGTCTTTTATCTTCAAACTGCAGCCTTTAGTGACTGTTAGATCTTTCTTCTTTTGCACAGTCTTTGTCATCTGAAGTCATTCTGGAAAATGGCCGGCTGCCAGAGGGAGTCTCCATCACCTACAAGTCCATCTGTAAGAACGGCGTGGAAGGAACAGGGGAGAACGGCAGGAAGTGCTCCAACATCTCTATTGGAGACGAGGTAGACGTGATACTGTTTGGTGCAATTTGGTTGTGCACTGTGGGAAAAGCACCGTCTGCCCTGGCAGCGGTGTTACTTTATAGCCTTGATGTCCTGTTTATGGCTCGTGAAGCTGGTAAACAACTGTCCTTCTTGCTACGTGAGGAATCTGGTTGGGTCGAATTAGCTGTAACAGGGAGGAAAAAACACATGCATTTGTTAAACGTCACGTCAAAACAAACAATAAATAACAATACAATCTAATAATAATCAAAGTCATGTCTGAAAAATGGAACAATAAGCCTCAAGGCCTCTTCCTTGTAATAGTTTTGCTAACCCTATAAACTCTCTACTGGTTTCCAGGTGTCTTTCAAGATTTCCATTGAATCCCAGAAGTGTCCATCCAGTGGCAAGGCTGAGCCTGAGACCATTAGAATTAAACCACTGGGCTTCACTGAGGAGGTGGAGATAGTTCTGAACTTCATCTGCGATTGTCAATGCGCCACAGAAGGCGAGCCCGACAGTAAGAAGTGCTTCGAGGGCAACGGGACCTTCGAGTGTGGAGCCTGCAAGTTAGTATTCAGCCAGAAAGATTCACTAGACCATGGAGCTTAAAGGTCTTACAGCTTTCAGTTTCCAACCACAACTGTACATCTTAAACCAGAAAAGGGAACTACTTATTAGGAAATACAAGGTGCATAATGTGATAATAAAAGCTGTTGGTATTTGGGCTTCTATGGTACATGGTTTGATATTTAGTAGGATTTTTTTATCTTGTTGAGTTATAATCTGTTCATAATGTTCGGCTTTGAGGACACACTTAGTACTGAGAAGGTTAACCTCCTGTTTTCCCTCTCAGGTGTAACGATGGACGTATTGGGCGACTATGCGAGTGCAGCATAGATGAAGTGCGGACAGAGGACCTGGATGCCAACTGCCGAAAAGACAATGGTATGGATATCTGCAGCAACAACGGTGACTGTGTCTGCGGCACCTGCGAATGCAAGAAGCGTGAGAATCCTGCAGAGATCTACAGTGGCAAATACTGCGAGTGTGACAACTTCAACTGTGACCGCTCAAACAACAAGCTCTGCGGAGGTGAGGATTGCAGAAATAATAAAATTGGAAAGCCTGTTTATTGTAAACTCTGTGGTAACCCTTTGCCATTGCCTGTGCTTTACCAGGACATGGCCGCTGTGAATGCAGGAAGTGTATCTGCGACGCCAACTACACAGGCAGTGCCTGTGACTGCTCCCTGGAGACTTCCACCTGCCTCGCCAAGAACGGGCAAATCTGTAATGGCCGTGGTACTTGTGTTTGTGGAATCTGCAAATGCACCAGCCCCAAATTCCAGGGTCCAACCTGCGAGATCTGTCCCACCTGCCCTGGCGTCTGCGCTGAGCACAAGTGAGTCTGAAGCTCGCATTCAGAAATCTTAGTATAACGTCTTATAGATTTTACACATGGACTGTTTATGCAAACAGTTTTACACATTTATTCTATAAAGTCTGAAGGATTTTGTTTCACTGTGGTCAGAGATTCTTTTTTTCTTTTCCAGTTTGATTAAATTGAGGAGTCTTTGTGCATAGAGCTGTTACAAAGTAAGAAGGTCTTTGGTTAGAGCCCCACGCCTCTCTGTATGTTTATACTTAGCATCTGCTTCCTGTGTGTTCTTATGGGCTTCCTCTCGGCAGGGCCATAGCAACCACTGACACTGAGGTCATGTCCCTTTTTTTGTTAGCAGTCTGAGGATATTTAATGTTCTAAAATGAACCGTCTATAGATGCTCTATATTATAAGCACTGATGCTCGTTGGTTACAGTGTGGGCCTTCTAGCAGGGTATGCTGGACTAGTATACAACATGGCGAGAGAATCAACCCTCTATCTATGATTTCACAGAGATTGCGTGCAGTGCCGAGCATTCGAGGTCGGTGAGAAGAAGGATACATGTGAGCGGGACTGCAGCTACTTCCAGCTGATCAAGGTGAAGGATCTCAACCAGCTGCCCCAGCCTACAGACCAGAGCTTCTCTCTGGCCCACTGCAAAGAGCGAGACGCCAACGACTGCTGGTTCTACTACACCTACGCCATCAGGAACGACACCAAGGAGGTCTATGTGGTGGAGACGCTGGGTATGATTGGACCTGCTAAATGTTAAACATTAAAAAGTGTCTTCATTCTCTGATATGTTGCATGCAGAATATATCAAGTCATCTCCACTGTCATCTTAAATTAAAGGTGCCATGTAGAGAATGTTTGACCACTAGTAGCTGCGCAGCATTGTTTTCATGCTCACACACAAAATGATACGCAGTCCTGCCAGTGGTTTCACACGCCAGGACAAGCTGCCTCACACTAGGTTGCGGGTTTCAAATGTTAACAGATATCAGATTTGCAAATGTTTCATGAAGAAAGAACATATTCAAGACAATTGTTAGGCCTGAAGGATACAAATAATGTAAACAGAACTTTGTTTAATTATAAGTGTGTGAAGTTCTCCTATTTTCAAATATGTTATGTTGTCTCCTACTGTTATTATGTTGGGAGTTCATAGCGCCCTCTAGCGGCAGCAGTCCACCTTGTATTTTTTGTTCCTCTGTGATTATTTCGTACTTGCTGTGCTTCGGTTTGACTGGTGAAGCTGAGCTGGTGAGTTAATATGTATACAAAGTGTTTGTAACTTGAGTTAACTATCATAAATATGTCCGTGCCATTAATGTAGCGATGTTGTTTATATTTTGTGTTTTCCAGTTGATTACCTGCTGACGGCACGATCACTGTTTAAGTGCTAAAAGAAAAGCATGTGTGGAGTTGCTGAGAAAAGGAAATTAACACGTGAAAAAGATATTGAGTGTCGGGGCTGAGTGTGACACTGTTTCGCGGGTCAAACGCACCCCGTGCGGTGGGATGTAGTTTAATAAAACCGTACAGTAATCAACACTAAGCCAGCCCCGTGACGGAGAAGCGGAGGTCGGACAGTGTCAACAACGGCAAGCTACAGGAGGCGAGCGTAGAAACGAGACCCGTCGGAGCTTCCCGGCCGATCGACGGAGCTTCGGACCCGGTCCAGGCCCTCAGGTAAGGATTTCGTGTGGTCTGTGACTGTGCTTGAGTGACTTTCATTGTGACTGTTTAGCACGACGGCATAGGATAAGCCGGTCTGTGGAGAATTAAAGAAAAAGCGTTCCTATGCACAGGGGATGTTTACCAGGAGGGCAAATGCCATTGACTTCAACATAGAGCTTTTAACTGAACATGACCTCAAACTTGAACTGAGGGCACTCAAGGGCAGCTACGAAGAGGTCTGTAATAGCAGTTTTGATTACATTGCTGCTATGGAAGAAGAGGATGTAGCTGATGTAAAGAAAAGGCTGCACGATTGCCGCACAAAATATCAGGACACTGAGATGAAGGTAAAAGAGACATTGTGGTCCCGCTGTGCATCAGGTCAGTTTGGTGGTCTGATGGTTGGCCTGACAGATGTGTTTGATCAGGCTGAAGCGCTCCAGTCGGGGCACATAACCAGGGAACAGTATGATTTGGTGCACACAGCGGTTGAGAACAGGGTCGAAGTACTGGAGGAGTTTGTGCGGGGCTGGGAGCGCTATGTCCCCGAAAAGGAGGTGGATATCATGCGGGCCTTTCTCACAGACTGCAAGGAGAAGAGAAACAAGACTATAGTCGTACTGACTAACTACATGCGCCAAGGCACAAGATCAGTGCATGGCGACCTTGGTGTCCTTGCCAGCGGTGAAGAGAGGGAGGGAGATGTTGACGGCGGAGATGACAGTAAAGGCGGTGTGGATGATTATGCTTTTAGAGCTCCAGGAGCAATTTGCCAGCGTCCTGCCAGCTGCCACCTCCTCTTTGTGTTCTTCATTCAATATCAAAGGCACTCTGTAGTAAAGACAGAAATACACAACATTATTTCAGGTATCAGGTCTCTAGGAAAAAAAGCTAAACTTGTTTTTAAGCGGTGCATTCATAATGTAACAATTTGCATCTTTCTGTTTTTTTTGTCATTATAATTATATTCACAATAACCCTTTTTGATTCATTCTACTCCCCCACTGAAACAAAGCCTACGCTGTTGTAAATTACTGTGAATATATCAGTCAGTTGGCCATTAATGTCACTTTGTAAACTGACGAATGTTGTTCTTTTTTTAGCTTTACTGTAGAATCGATCAGCTGAAACCGTTTCCACAACGTACATATCTCACAGAATCATCTGGTTTGAATAAACAGAGGAACAATTGTGTGGTTGAAATGAGTTGTAATGGCCTCAATGGCTGAACAAATGAGGACAAGAGCGCCACCTGCACCTTCACCAGAAAATGTAAAGAAGACACTGCAGTCACAACACATTACATTGAACATTTTAAGTAAAACTAAAAAAAAACCTAAATTCTGTTAAGTTAACATGGATACTTAATGAAGCAGCTTTTACTGGTATTTTTTAAGTGACATAAGTTACAGAAATATTCCTGATTTTGTACTTTTTAATATGTATTTTCTTAATAAAAATGACCAAATTAAGTCAGTATCACTTTTACTGAAGCTACTTTTTTAACTAAATTGAGTTGGTTTTACTTTAAATGTTTGACGTGATCAGTTTCAACAATGTTTTGAGTTAAATTAATTTCTATGGTTTCATGGAGCTTTCAGTACGAAACACAGAGACAAGATAAAAAAAAATATCACAGACTCAGATCACCACTAGTAAATATGAGATCCCACCAGTCTTGGTCCTCTAACCCTTCTTGGCGATTGGTGCGACTTTGATTCTGATCCTCAAGAGGAAATTCATGTCATTGCTTTCAAGACCCCACTTCCTCTCCTCGGCTGGCCCTGTTGGTGCCACTTCCTCCTCTATGTGTTCCAGATGGCAGGGCGGAGGACGAGGTTAGCCATCAGACTCCTGCTGATTTACTGCAGACGGAGATCTACATGCTCCTCTGTCCCTTCACTCCACCTCTCTGCTCTGTTTCCTGTGTCTTTTTATAAAGCCTTTTCAAAAGATCTAGGCAGGAAGGTTCAGGAAGGTCCCTGGCTGGTACATGCGTTTATACATGCCTCAGCTCACACACTGTACACACTGTATGCTCACGTATGTGCACTGTGTGCTCGTGCATAAACAGAAGAAGAGACTTAAATAAGCAGAAACACCAATTTAGACATGTGTTTTATATAACATGTGATTATGTGCTACACAGTAGGTTGAGGAACATATAGGGAGTTACATTTAGAATAAGAGTGAATTTGAATTGTTGTTAACTCAACCTGATGTATTCAGGTTCATTTTGGAGCTGAACTCTATTTAATTTTATTATAATTATTGATTTTATGATTCATCCCACATCAGTAGGCCTGACAATTACACGTGAATAAACATGTTTTGGTGTATAAAGTGCTGAACACTGAAAAATAACAAAATCGTGTGTACTTAAACTTACTGTTGCTTAAAATGAATCAGTTTATGGGTGCGGTGTTGGTACACGTCCCACACAGAGACACAGAAACGGAAACGACAATGCGTTAAAAATGGGGTAATTACACTTTACAGGTAAGTTTTGCAGAAATAGCGATGTAATTTGGCACTTACTTTAACTAAAAAGTTAAATTTCCTTAAAAGAACAGCTCAATTTAAACCCAAGTAAATATTAATGCATTATTATGCATTTATTATAGAGTTATTTCAGATATCCCTGGCTCCAGATGTAAAAGTCTCATTAATTTTTCCCATAGATAATATTACATCTCACAGTTGGAGTTCCTGTTCAGCTTTGATCAGCATGAAACTCCCCGAGCTAAATCATCATTACAAAATAACTAAATAATTAAAAAGAACCGTGTTAGAAACTATCTCTCTTTGATAAAGACTCGAAGGTACAGCTTGTGGAGAAACTTTGAGGAATACCTGTAACTACGACTCCCATGGTGCATTTCAGCAAAGAAAGAATCCAATCAGCGAGCTTGCTAAGGAAGAGGTGGAAGCTAAATATGAAGGTGCTGAGAAAACACAACAGATGTTAAAAACTAAAAACTAAACCATAAAAATAGAATAAAACAAAAAATTTAACTTCATCAAAGGGGCATTAAAAAAGACAGTTCAGTACACACACAACATAAATAATGAGAGTTAGCATATAGCATTGATCTGATTGGATTTTCAATCCTGTTTATTTGTAATGTAAACAGGTAAAGTAATCCCTTTTTTATTATTATTTATTGTCAAAAACAAACAAAAGAAGAAGCTAAAGAGTTAGCATTCTGTTTAGCGTGTGCCACTGTAGTTCCACGCAGGCAAAGAGAACAACTTTTTGTGTATTTTGTTTTGTTCCCTTTTTGCACACACGGTCACATCCTAGCCACGCCCAAAATGCCACACAGCAGCCTGGGATAAATCAGGCAAAAGGAAGCCTCAGCGGTTCAGACAGGCAGGAGTGCTTTTGGTGTTCGGTGTCCGACCACTTGACTCCCAGTGTGACGGAAACCATTTTCATCTGTGCTGTTTCCATGTCGGACGTATGAAAGGATGGCCTCTGGTTGTGATTTCCCCCGGTGTTTGCTTTTCTTTCCTCTCTTCATTCGGTTTAAACTTCTTATCAAACTGTCCAACGCTGGATCAGAAACAGATTTACATCAGAACAGTATACGTTATTGTGTGTTTTATTCCCGTTCAGCACCCGAGGATGGGCTTCACAGCGCAATTACTGGTTTTCCCAGCAGGAAGAGAGCAGTCAGATTTGCCCATTTCTTTCTGTCATTTACATAATGACACTGTGATTTATTCAGAAAAAGAAAATCATTCTTAGCTACAGTTTCTGGAAAAGGATTTCCTAATGTTCAACGCAATATAGCCTAACATTACATTGTAGTGCTTTACTGATCTGTGAACACTGTTTTCTGATACTCTGGGCTACATAAAATCAACTCAAGCGACTATTTGCAGTTAGAAATTGGATCAGACAGAGAGTGTACCAACTTCAGTCAACAGTCTCTCATTACTTTTCCTTAAAAAAAAAACTAATTATACAGTTAATTTAATGTTAAAGCCTCTGTAAGAAATGTGTCTACCAGGCTCTGATATGTCTCTCTTGTCTTCTGCCTCAGATATTCTCCGGGAATCAGAACCACGACACCCCAGAGCTGAGGTCGGTGGGCTCCCTCCTGACCCGCTTCGTCAGGATCTACCCAGAGAGAGCCACCAACGAGGGCCTGGGCCTCCGACTGGAGCTGCTGGGCTGTGAACTGGACGGTGAGTGTCCATGCGTTGACTTCATATGAAATGTGGTTTAAAACCAACATTTTTCTTTCAAATACAGCAGGTTAGGTTAGTTTCATAAAGAACATTGAGTGTTTTGGTATTTTTATCATAATATAGTCCAGGATTCATGTAATATCCATCATTTAGTGTTTACATGAACATTTTTTGATCTTTAACTTATATATTATAATAATAATATCTAATGATTGAACTTAAAGGGAATACACAGGCCTACTCTATGTATCTAAAACCTTTATTTATTGCCAAACAATAACAAGAAGGGCGAGTATAAACTGTCAACCCCAAGGCAATTTGTCTCGTCATATTACATTTTAATATTACAATATTACATGGAGGTTGATATTAAAGCAGAGCACTCCTGTGGTTTCTGGCTTTGGCAGAGTTGTTCTTGGTCGAGAATAAGTGCTCAGCTCAGCTTTCACAGACTGTAACAAATAACATACAGAAAGGCAGCTGGGTTAGAGGAAGTGATGCTTTCCTTAAGATAGCTCTTACTGCAGCTGCATATGGGGTTTTCAATCAGTCATCTTCACACTAATATGGACAAACTTAAATTAGGAATGATCCTTTTAGAATATTTAACTCTATATTAGCACCTGTCAACACCTGAAACCACATTCTTCAAACTTAAAGAACCAGTGTGTAGGATTTAGTGGCATCTAGCAGTGTAGTTGCAACTTCCTCACCTCACCCTCCCCTTCTAAGCACGAAGGAGAAACTATAGATAGATAGATTGTAACACTGAAAGGCTGACGCATGCCATGGCAGGCTACTATCTCTACCGCTGCAGTGGTCAGAGCTGGATGGTGTGTGTGTGTGTGTGTGTGTGTGTGTGTGTGTGTGTGTGTGTGTGTGTGTCAAAAGAGAGATACGAGGACTCAACCTCCAACAGTAGGTGAGGGAGGAACAGATGAAGGGAGGAGGGAGGCTCTCTGGAGTATCTGGTTGCCCTATAGGGAGAATAAGATAAGGATCAGTCAAAGCAGGAGAGATTGCAGAGTAGAGGATGAGAGATGTGTGTGTGTGTGTGTGTGTGTGTGTGTGTGACAGAGAGAGAGAGAGAGAGAGAGAGAGAGAGAGAAGAGAGAGAGAGAATTGGATGGAATAAGAGCAGGAGGGACAAGATGAGAGAGAGATGAGAGAAGTAATGGAGATAAGGAGATAAACTCACCTTACAGGGGATTTCAGGAGGTCCTGGTCTTGGAACTAACTCCTAAGAAGTTACCCTAATAACCCTAACCCTAAAAAAAACTTTAAAAAGTTTGGGGGTCTCAGCAGCACAGAGACTGCGACAGACCTGCTGAATTTCGGAGGCACCACAGATGGCACTGGAGATAAACAATAGAACGATTAAGTGAGAGAGGTGTGTGTGTGTGTGTGTGTGTGTGTGTGTGTGTGCGTGCGTGCGAGAGAGAGAGAGAGAGGGTGAAAGGAGTGAGAGCAAAAGAAAAAAAGAGAATAAAAAGGGGGAAAAGAAACTCTGTGGTTTTTGAAGCAGTGTGTCTGTATTTGTCCCAGATGAACAGAGTTTCCTTTCAGGAAAGAACAAAGCTGCTAAGAGCACATACATACACACACATTTGTACATACTCAAATATTATGCAAGCACAGTGTACACTGGAAAAGTCGTACAGATGCATATATAGACACTTTAAGCCCACACACACAAACATACACGTTAGCAATCCTTTACTATACAATTATCCAAATCATACCCCTCTCATACCTCACTGAGGCAGTTTATCTCTTCATTAACGTACATAATGATAAAGCTCTGACCTCAAGTGCTGTCAACAGCTAAACAAGCTGATTCCAGACTATTAAATAATCAAAATGTACTAAAGTTGATATTAAAAGCCTTTTTTTTTAATACAAGGTGCTAGATGTAAGATCAGTGAAGTAGCAGATCCTTTTGGATTCATTGAACGACTGTCTCAAAAAGTCTCTTCCTGTTGCCACAAAAACATTGAAATGCCAACTGAAGCTCACAACAACACAAGAGAAACTAACAAGCTCACAATACGCCTGCAGATCAGTTTCAGCAGTTTAATCAGGGTAGGTCTTTTTTTTTTGTTATTGCCGATGCTGCTTCAAGCTTCGAGTTAAATCATCTCCTTACATCCACGCTGCTGCGAGAGCAAACCTCCATCCCACTCAAAGCGTTGCAAACACGTTTCCTTACAAAGTTTAATTACATGCACACCATCTGTGATTTTTACATAGCCTACATATGCTAATTCAAGTTCAA